ACGGAAGACCATTCCAGGAAGCCCACGGAGGGAGCCCCGGGCCTGGCAGAGGGAGGGCTCTGGGCAGGAATGTGGCCACTCCGATGGAGTCGCGGTCCCTGCGCTGGTAGCCAGGCCGCATGGCCCACAAGGGACCCCACATCCCCGAGACCCCAAAACTCCTGCTCCGAGGCCCGCAGGCAGAGCCGCCAAGGCCACGTGCTCCTGCTGGGGGCTCTGTCGGCGCCAGCCAGGCTTGGGGCCACCGGCCAGCGGCCACCAGGATGCTGCCGGCCCCGCCACCGCCCGCGCCTCCCCGCGGCACTCTGGCTACCCCCGGCCCCAACAGGTGGGCAGAGCCCCCATTCGCGGTGCCGGCTCCCGTCGCGCCCCGCTCTGGCTGGGGCGGCCCCAGGGGCCATCTTGAGCTGGGGTGCGTGGGGGGGGCCAGAGAGGAGATGGAGCGGGGGAGGGGCGCGGGCTGGGGCGGGGGCGGGGGCGGGGGCGGGCGCGGGGGCGGAGGCCGGGCGGGCGCGGGCCTGGCGGGCGGGGGCCGGGCCGGCGCATAAAGGCCGCGGCGGGGCCTTACCTCCGACCCTGTACATGTTGGCGGCCATGTCCGGGCCGGCGGCGGCGGGGCCGCGGCCGCGGGGCGCGGGCGCGGGCGGCGGGCGACGCGGGCTGGGGCGGGCGCGGACGCGGGCGCGGGGGCGCCGCGGGCGGTTTAAAGGGGCCGCGCTGCTCCGCCGCCGCCGCCGCCGCCGCCTCCGAGGCCGCCGAGGCCGCGCAGGGACGGGAGGGCCGCGGCGCGGGCGGGAGAGGAAGAGGAGGAGCGGCCGCGGGCGGCGGGGAGGGGCCTCGGGCGCCACCGCCCACCGCGCGGGCGGTTACTCGACCCCGCGCCGCGGCGGCTCACGCGCCTCCGCCGCCCCCGCCCTGCGGGTCTCTGTGACCCCGGCGACTGTCTGGCGCCCTTCCCGGGAGGGTCTCCCGGTAGCCTCGGACAGGCCGTGCCTCTCCCCCGTCGCAGGTCCCACAGCATCACCAGCACCCCTCCCAGGCAGTCTCCTCGACGTCCGCGGCGGAGCAGCTGCGCTCCCCACCGTGGGGTCCCCTAGGCTCCTCCCGTGAGCCATCTTCGCCACCCCTGGCGGCTCACCCTCCTGTCGTTCCCTGTACTCTTGGGGCCCTTCTGAGGCCCCTGCTATCTCTGAGGCCTGGTATCTCTGAGGTGGCCTGAATCTCTGAGGCCATACATGTGTGAGCCCCTCCTGCACCCTCAGGAGGTCTTGCCCCTTCGAAGTCGGGGTCCTCCATGCAGCCCCAGGGTCCTCTGGCACTTGAGCCTTCTCAGCTGTCCCCACTGGGTCCCCTACCTACCTCAAAGCTGAACAGCCCAGTCTTGGCCTCAAGGCTCTTGTCCCACACCACCAGTCCTATGCTGACCTTTGCACCCAACACCAGGTGGTCTGTGCCCGCTGCCCATGATCTCCCAGCCCCTGTGGTCGACATGGTGACCGTCCCCCCTTCCCAACCTGGGTAGGATTCTGAGCTGGCCAGGCCTCCATGGCTGGTGGCCTGGTTTGAGGCTGCAGAACCCCGCCTCACCAGGTGGGAGTGTGGAGGGAGGTTCCTCCTGTGGTCTGGAGTCTGTACTTCCTGTCAACACCTCTCAGAATCTGTAACCATGTGTTTGGTCTTGTGCTTCTTTAAAGTCTGAAGACAGGGTCTGGGGATTTAGCTCAGTGGCATAAGCGCCTTCCTTGCAAGCAGGCAGTTGTGAGTTCGATCCCTGGTACCGATAAAAAGGAAAAAGACAAAAAAAAAAAAAAAATCTAAAGTCTGAAGACAGTGAGGTACCCAGGCATCCCTTCGACTGAGCAATGGAGGTGGCATCACAGTAGAGATGATCACGGCTTCAGGTTGATGTGGGGAGGTGTCTGGGGAGTTACATATTGCCTCTGAGCCAGCCTGTGATGCTGCCTAGTGGCCACAGAGACACCAAGTCCAATTGGAGGGGTATTTCTATGGGATGCCAAAGGGCATTCCTGGGAGCTAGAGTTCAAAGAGAGCCTAGAACATACACCCATGACCCCAGGACTCTGGGAGGTGAGGTGGAAGTATGGCAACTTTGAACCCAGCTTGGCAAATTTAGTGAAACTTCATCTCAAAATGAAAAATAAAAAGGACTGGGGATGTCAGTCAGTACAAAAACTGGGTTTAATCCTCAGTTCTTTGAAAAAGCAGTCAAGGGGCTGGGGATTTAGCTTAGCGACATAAGCGCCTGCCTTGCAAGCAGGCAGTCCTGAGTTCAATCCCCGGTACCGATAAAAAGGAAAAAAGACCAAAAAAAAAAAAAAAAAAGAAAAAAACAGTCAAGAGTAAGAGCCTCCCTGGAACAAAGCGTGGCCAGACATGGTGGTGTGCACCTTTAATCCCTGCACTTTGGAGACTGAAGCAGAAGAATTGCTGAGAGTTCCAAGGTAACCTGGGCTACATAGTGAGTTCCAGGTCAGCCTGAACTACATAGCAAGATCCTGTCTAAAAATAAATTTTAAAAAACCCTGCATAGGAAAGGCCCACGTCACACTCTTAGAAAGTCAGTGCAGCATGCGGTTGGGGATTTAGCTTAGCTCCGCAGCACCTGCCTTGCATGTGGGAGGTCCTGAGTTCAGTTCCTGGTACCTTACTCCCAAAGAAATTCAGTGCAGCATGACATGATCCATACTAAGAACTGCCTTGCCTGTTACTGAACTTTAAAGATTAATGGAGCCATTTTCCAGAAAAAGCATATTATAAAGATAAAAACCACAAAGTGGCACACACCTGTAATCTCAGCAGTCTTGAAAGATGAGGCCAGAGGATTGCAAGTTTTTCCCCAGTCTGGACAATTTAGCAAAATCTTTTTTTTTTTTTTTTTCCTTTTGTACCAAGGATCAAACTCATGACCTCCCACTTGCCAGGCACTTATGCTGCTAAGCTAAATCCCCAGCCTCAAAAACCCTTTTTCAAAATAAAAAATAAAGGGCTGGTGATGTTGCTCAGTATGAAAGCCATGGGTGTAATTCCCAACACAGGGGGAAAAAATAGCCTCTGATTTATCAAGCACTATTAAAAACTTGAAGACCCTAAGAAATGTAGTGTAACCCAAGAATCTGTTACCAGTCAGGTTCTCATGCATGTATAAATGTTTCAGGGAAATACTTTCAAACATAACATGAGGAATAAAGTTCTTTACACATTTAAAACCCGGCCTTAAGTCCAGCCAATAATGATAAAAATAAAAGCAAAGAATTTGGGTGACCCAAGCCCCAACAGCAAGCTCATGGTAAGAGAAGCTAAAAGCCTCAACATAGGATGAAAATGTTCTGGAATCTTTTGGGGACTGGTGGCACAGGCTGTGAGCCCAGTACATAGAAGGCAGAGCCAGGATCTAGGCTAGCCTGAACAATTTGGTGAGACCTTGCCTAAAACAGAAGGTTGGGATATAGTTTAGTTCAATCCCTAGTATTACACACACACACACACACACACACACACACACACACACACACACACTGTTGTGCACATGAAACAGTAGAGCTAGCAGAGGCAATCTGGGTCCCTACCTGGCCCTCATCAGCAAAGCCAGCAATCCTCCTGCCTAAATTGTAGCATGCTACTGAAGAACAAATGACACTATCTCCTAGTGTTCCTATAATGTCGAAAACTAAGTGTAAGAGAATTTTTATTTTTGGCCATACTCATACTAGGGATTGAACCCAGAACCTTTACACTGAGCAACATCCCCTAGCACCCAGCCCTTTGTTATTTTTTGAGATAGGGTCTTACTGATCACTAAATGGTCCAGACTGCCTCAGTCATAATCCTGCTTCTTAGAATTTTTTCTTTCTTTCAAGACAGTGTCCCTATATAGTTCAGGCTGGCCTTGAACTAACTATGTAGCCCAGACTGACCTGAAACTTGCAATGATCTTCCTTTCTCAGCCTCCTAGGTGCTGGGATTATAGGGATATGCTGCTATGCCTGGCCTTAGGAGAATCTTTTAAACTTGAGAGAACCAGGTATGGTGGCACATGCCTGGAATCCCAGGCCTCTGGGAGTAAGAGGCAGGAGGGTCAAAAATTCACCCCAGCCTACACAACTGAACGTGACCATCTGGATGGGGGATGTAGTTCAGCAGAGGCCCTGGGTTTTAGCTCCACTACACATGTGTACGTGCACATACGAGGAGGGAGAAGTAGTCATCTGATTTCAGCAAGTTTTTCTAAAAACTTGTGTTTTGCTTTGTTTTTGAGACAGGGTCTCACTGTAATTCAAGCTGAGTTGAAGTACTGTGTAGCCCAGACTGGCCTCCAACTCATGGTGATCCTCCTGCCCCAGCCTTCTGGGTGCTGAAGTTATAGATATATACCATCATGTTTAGCTGATAAAAAACTTATTTCTAAATGTGTAGGTAATATCAGGCATGGTGACACATATCTGTAATCCCAGCACTCTGGACACTGAGGGAGGAGGATTGCTGCAAGTTTGTGGCCAGCCTGGGCTACATAGTGAGCTCAAGACCAGTTTGGACTACATAGTGAAACACTGTCTCAAAAAATATAAATAAATAAATAAATAAAAGTGTAGGTGGTAGCTCTATCTTTTTCTGTTTTTCCAAGTATTCATCTTTCCCTCACATACCTGAAAATGGCTGCAGGGGCCTCCGCCTGAACGGGAGTCACTTCATGGGTTAGACATGGCGAGGTTTGAAGCCATATTCCTTGTTGTATTGTTTACTCATGAGCAAGTATTTACGCAAAGCCAAAGAAGCCATTTCTTCTAATGACAGTGTGTGCACTGTGTGTGCATTGTACGGCAGCACTCAGTGAGGCTTCAAAATACATCTCCCAGGCACCCCTGTTGGTCCTGCACAGAGCAGGATCTGTGGCTGCCCTGCTGCCACAGCACAACCCCCTTCTGCTTCAGGGACCCAGTTTACGTGCTCCCAGTCTGAGCTACAGTAACCAGAGGACAGTGTTGGGCCTCACAGAGCCTTGTGGCCAGCTCTTTCTCTTTATTGAGGTAGTCGAGTGGCAGACGCAGAGATGCAGATCTTCATGAAGACCCTAATAGGGAAGACCATCGCCCTCAAAGTTGAGCTCAGTGACACCATCAAGAAAGTCAAAGCCAATATCCAAGACAAGGAGAGCATCCACCTGACTGGCAGCATCTGATTTTGCTAGCAAAGAGACAGAGGACAGCCAGACTCTGTCTACAGCACCCAAAAAGAGTCCACCATGCAGTTAGGGCTTCACCTGTGAGGTGGGATTTTTTTTTTTTTTAATCGGTACCGGGGATCGAACTCACAACCGCCTACTTGCAAGGCAGATGCTTATGCTGCTGAGCTAAATCCCCAGCCTTATGAGGAGGGATTATTAAGCTGTCCCAAAAGTAGTTCACCCAGAAGAACAACTGTGACAAGATGATCTGCCGCAAGTGCTATGCTTGCCCACATCCCCATGCTGTCAATTGCAGTATGGCCACACCAACCACCTGCACCAAGGTCAAGTAAAGCTCTCCTCAGGAAGGGCACCACCTGCCCAAGTACTGTGGCCTTGGGGCTTAAATAAAGTTTCCCTCACCAGGCTTGGGCAGGAGGTAGGGGGGTAGGGATGGGCTGTGTCAGTGCACTGTCAGGTCCTGAGCTCTGCTTAGCCTGGACCAGGAGCAGGGAGTGGCTGGTGCTTCCACAGAGGGGGCACCTTCCTGGCGACAGGGCCCTGTGATCCTGAGAAGGGGCCAGGACTGACCTGGTGGCCAAGCAGAAATGAAGGGAGCCTAGAATCAAGGTCTTGGGGAAGGGTCTACTTGTAGTGGCTGAGGGTTTGTCCTAGTCACATTTATGCTGGGAACTTTGGCAGGACCCAGACCAATCCCCAGGTTCCTTCCCTCACACAAGACAGCCCTTCCAGCCTCCCTCTGACTCCAGTACTCCAAGACCTTGGCACAACCCTCCCAAGACTATGCTGTGGACCTCTAGCTACCCCAAACAGGTCCCCCTACATGGGCTACTGGCCTTCCAAAAGCTTCCTCTACTGCAAGGTTTTTACGCTGGGCCATGGACAGGAGAGCTGACCACTTGTGGTTGTAGGGAGCCATCCCATGCATAGTGGTATGGGCAGCATCTCCAGTTTCTACCTACTAGATGCTAACAGCTTCCTGTGGGAGTACTTTCCCCACTGCTCTCACCCTAAAGAGCCTGTGACACACTAAGTGACAGTACAGAGGGGACTTACATTCAGTAACTACTTGATCTTAAAGCAGTTTATCCAGGCTATCTGGGTGAACAGTGTTGTCATAGGATCCTTAACCATGGGAGAAGAAGGCAGGAGAGAATCAGGGCAGGAAGTACAGGTACCAAGCAGGTAAGATGGAGAAAGCAAGGGCCGTTCCTCCCTAGAGCCCTGCCCACGTCTTCATGCCAGACCAGTCAGGGAATTCTACTGAACCTAGGTAATGAATCTCTGTTGGTTTAAAATACTAAACATTGGGCTGTGGATTTAGCTCAGCGGTGTAAGCACCTGCCTGGCAAGCGTAAGGTCATGAGTTCGATCCCTGGTACCAAAACAAACAAACATTGCAGTTTGTTACAGAAGCAACTGGATTGTGGCAACCAAACTGTCTCCAGGCACTGTCACCTGTCCCAGCACCATGTGCTACTGGAGAGGGTCATGTGTTCTGTGTTGGTCCCCACTGAAAGGCATTTGTACCCTCTCACTCCATGCTGAACCACAATTCCTGTAGCCACACTAACAACCAGGAAGAAGCACATAGACATGGCTGGCTCTGGGCCTCAGCCTTAAGACCCCAGTGTGGCTATGAAGGTAACTGTATACAGGGAACCCTCTGGAAAGGACAGGGCTAGTGGTCCCAGTATCCTACCTTCTGGTTGCAGCCTAAGCAGACTCTGGCCAGGCCAGAACTATAGAAGAGGCCAATCAGTCCCTCGTCAGGAGCAAAAATAACAGTGGACCTGGATATATCAGCATACTCCTATAATCCCAGCACTTGGGAGGCCAAGCAAGAGGATCATATTAAATTCACAGTTAGCCTGGGCCACTTAGTGAGTTCAAAGCCAACCTGAACTACATAGTGAGACCCTGTTGCAAAAAAGCAAAACACAAAAACAGAACAACAAAAACAAAAATAAACAAACAAAAAAGGGGTACGACTCCTTCTAAGTCACTCAGAACAAAAACTGCACAGCATGCACTATTACAATGTGACCCCTGACAGTAGCACTTACCCTGCACTGAGACAGGACTACGTGCACCTTCCTGCCTATCGAGGGCCTGCCTGAACTCAAGCACAGCATGCCCCCATCCTGTCAGAGAACTTGGGAGGAGGAGGAGTCAGGATGTTTCCCAGGACCCTGTGGCTCCATGGCCTGTCCTCCCCAACTGTGGAGGTCTTACAAATGCAGAGGACCCCTGCATTTGTGGTAGACAAATGTGTGGTAGACAAAATTGCACTCAGAAACTCCAGACTGAACCAGGGAAGGATGCCCACCTAGATAATCCAGGCAGATCTCCTGGAGGAGAGAATTTCAGTCCCACAGTACAAAGGGGAAAGAGGCAAGAGCCGAGGATTTGAGTTGGCCTAGGGACCCAGAGTCCAGGAGCAGCAAGTACCAGCATGGTCAGGTCTGTATCTCAGCAGCAGCTCAGGAACAGTACTGCCAGCTTGCTGGATATGCAAGGTCAAGGTAGCTGAAAGGCTGGACTCCTACTGGGGGCTATGATCAATCACCTCCTCTCAGCCCAAAGCTTGCCAGTCTCTACCACCACACAGAGAACCAAATGGGACCACCTACTCAGTCCCTGTGGCCAGGGTACTTTTCCCCATGCCAAGGGATGGGGTCACCTCTCTCCTTCCCTTCCTCCCAGTGCCCCCCACCATGATCTCCCAAAATGCAGCCTGCATTCATCCAGCTCCGAACCCTCTGCAGGCTCCACAATCAGGGGACAAAATCAGTGGGAGCCTAAGACCAGGCCACTAGAGCACTTCTACAGCCAGCATCTCTTGGCTGCTTCAGACCCTTTGTATCCAAGGCCTTCTCAGCCCTTGTCCTCCTCTAGCCCCAGAGGTGCTCAGCCCCTCCTACTCCAGGAAGCCTCCTTTGGAGGGCCTCTCTCCTCTCTGGACCCTCCACCTACTACACCACATTCCCGGGCCTCCAGAGCAGTGCCTGATGGGCAGGGCAGTTGACGGCATGGACCAACACCAGGTGTCCATTAGCGCTTGTCACCAGTACACTCCCACGGATGGATGAACAGCCATGGTCTAGTTAGCTTAGGTGATTCTTCAGCCAGTACAGAGCTGCCCAACCTGGCTTTCCTTTCCTCTTCTCCCAACACCCCTCGACGAGGTCCCAGGGGGTCTGTTTGCCCTCCATGGGTGGGCCACACTCCCTTGTGGGACATCGAGTGCAGAAGGTCAAAGAAAGATGCTACAGGACACTCTGGGCTGAACAGGCTCTTAAGAACGGGGCAACCTAGATCGGGCCTGAAAAGCTGTGTTCTGCCAGAAGGGTGCGCTCCGGGCCAGGAAGTCACAGAAGGCGTTGTTGGAAGCAGAAGAATTCGGTGGTTGGGGGAGGAGCACGTCCTTGTCCACATCCTCAGACACCAGTTTGGCCACTACCTGTGTGATGTCCTGTAGGCCACCGTGGCGTCAGGGTCGGGCGAGGGCCAGAGGGGAGGGAGAGAGGGGACCCAACCCCACATCCCCACTCGCTGCCCCAGTCTGTGGCGCCAGAGCGCTGCCCTCAAAGCGCACCTCGCAGTGCTTGTCCTGCAGCTCTATGCGCCGCATCGCCAGCTGCCTGCGCTCCTCGATGCTGAGACTCCAGCGGTGGCCAGCGCGTTGGCGCACCCGGGGCTCGTACACCTGTGAAGACAGAGCAGGACAGTGCGCAGGCTATGCCCAGGGGCCACAGGCCAGGCCAGAGGAACAGCTAGTTTGGGTGGGACCACAGGTCCCTCCTCACCAAGCTCCCTCAAAAATGATCATAAAGAGATTAAGGCTAAACAAGATAACACTCATGGGTTACAAACAACAAAAGAGCAGGCGCACATGGAGGAGGACCAGGGGCAGGCACTGGAGACCTCAGCTGGGATGGGGAGGAAGCAGGGCACTTCCCAGGTGTGCTGTAAGAATCCTTCAGATTGCCCGGTACCTTGGGGAAGGAAAGAGGGGTACTGTGTTAAAAACAGAAGGCTGCGTGGCACATGCGAGGTCCTAAGTTCTATCCGCATACCAAAAAAAGAAAAGGAAAAAAACAGCTGATGAGACAAACTGCACCTGAAGTCCTCCTTTACTCAAGTTAGAAAACAGAATCATCTTGTGATCAGCAATCCCATTTCCTGGGATGCACCCAGAACCCCCGCAAGCAGAGAAGCTGATGGATTCACGCATACACGGTCTCCAGCAGCACAGTTCACAGCCATCAGCCTGTGGACACTCAAGACGAGTGGATGAAGGGCCGCAGATGACCCACAGGACGAGATGCTCAATGAGACAAACACTCACTAAAGAGTGCAAGTGACAGGATCCCACCGGCATGAAGTCCTAGAGACTGTGACAGTTACTGACTGCTGCACAGCACTGTCAAGCCCAGAGCTGCTTAAGGGGGCAGAGCTTCAATTTACAAGATTAGAAATCCTAGAAGTTTGTTTCACAACAATGTGAAGACATATACACTTTATATATATATGCATGTATACATTATATATATATGTATATATATATATATATATATATATATATATGTATGTATGTATGTATATCCCTCCCCCCTCAAGCACCGAGGATTGAACCCAGGGCCTTCATGCTGAGCTGAGACAGTGTCTTGCTGAGTGTCTGTGTTGCCTAGAAAGGGCTCAAACTTATAATCTTCCTGCTTTAGTCTCCCAGAGTGCTGGGATTACAGGAATCTAGCACCTACCATAGCAGGCTGAATAATGTGGCTATGCTTAGCACTACTGAACAAGGGTTGTAGATGTAGCTCAATGCCAGAGCATACACAAGACCTGGGCTCCATCCCAAGCATTGTTTTAGTATGGAGATAGATATATTTTTATGTCTGTATAGTCTTTATTTATTTATTTATTTGGAGTTTTTTGGAAGCAGGGTCTCGCTCTAATTCAGGTTGGCCTTGAACTCACTTTGTAGCCTGCCTCAGCCTCCCAAGTGCTGGGATTACAGGCCTGTGTACACTATAAAATTTTTTTTTTTTTTTTGGTACTGGGGATCAAATTCACTCACGACCTCATGCTCACTGGGCAGGTGCTTATACTGCTGAGCTAAATCCCTGGTTTATAAAGTCTTTAAAGTCTCAAAAACATTAATATTCTGTAAACTCTTCTGGATTAAGCTGCTAGACGCTGTGCTCTGGGAGTAAATAGAGAAATAAAAAAACCAAAGTCCCAGGAAATAGGTGGTACTGAGACAAAGAGAGAGTAGAGTTGTACAATGCCCTGAAGGCAGCCAGGTCAGCTGGGGCAGAAAGGCCATGGCGGCCAGAGGGCTGCTGCCAAGGAAAGAGTTCCAGGAGACCTGGTATGTGTGGCTATCTATAAGAGGAGAGTCACATATGGTCAGAAAGTTTGGAAAAGATAATAATAAACAGAAAAGAAGGAGGAAGTGAGGGAAGAAAAGGCACCATAGACTTTTCCATCCAAGAAAAAACAAAAGGCCACACAGGGCTGGGGATTTAGCTCAGTGGCATAAGTGCCTGCCTGGTAAGTGCAAGGTTGTGAGTTCAATCTCTGGTACCAAACCTCTCCCCAAAACAAAAGGCCACACGAGAAAGGAAATTTATCATCCCACCGTAGGTTTGCCTTGGTTGTCACTCCACGGCCAAGGTTGGGACTGGCGATCCACAGAGGTGTACACTACAACCACCTCAGGAGGCGGGGAGAGGAGCACATGTTGGGGCAGATGTTGCTGGGTCCTCCGGCTCTGGCGGGCAGTGAAGCTGCCTCAGCACCTGAAACTGAGGCGCGGGAGAGCAGGCCAAGCACATGCGAACATTCCTTCTTTTTGTTTTCTTTCTTTCTTTTCTTCTTTTGCAGTACTGAGGATCAAATCCAGCGAACTCGGGGCTGGGGATTTAGCTCAGCGGCATAAGCACCTGCCTTGCATGCAGGCAGTCGTGAGTTTGAGTTTGATCCCCGGTACCGGGGTAAAAAAGAAAAAACAAAACAAAACCCAGCGCACTCTATCACTGAGTTATACCCCCATCCCGCTTTTATTTATGGCTTCGAGACAGGGTTTCCATCGCCCTCGTTTGCTTTGAACTTGTGATCCTCCTGTGTCTGTCTGTCAGGAGCTAGATTATAGGAGTAGCCACCACCCCTGGCTGTGCATTCAGTGGAAACACCTCTGAGAACAGTCAGCAAAAAGGGGGAGGGGCTTCAGGATTGCAGCTCTATGTGAGCATTTTAATACAAGTAAAAAAATTAAAGGTTTAGGTAATTAATAAACAAGATCTAATAAACATGAAAGAACACGCTTAGACTTTGTAACCCAGAGAGTCCATGTTCTTTTTTCTTTTTTGTACCAGGGATCGAACTCATGATTGCATACTTACAAGGCAGGCGCTTAGGCTGTTTGAGCTAAATCTCCAGCTCTTTTTTGTGTATGTTTGAGACAGCGTTTCACTATGCGGCTCAGGCTGCCCTTGAGCTCACTTTGCAGGCCCAGCTGGTCTTTAAGGATTCTCCTGCCTTAGCCTCCCATGTTTTTAACCGGCAAATTGGAAATTTACCCAAAGTGGCCATGATCTAAGGCATAAATAAAATAGATTCTCCCATGCACAAGAGAGCCCCAAACCCATAACTAATTGTGACCAAAAAGTAACGCAATTAGAAATTACAAAAGGATAAAACACTCATTGACGTGGACATTCCCAAACATCCTTCTGTGAGAGTCGACCCCCCTGCTACAACCCCCTCCCCAGAGCGGAGAATGAAAGGGTTAACTCCCTAACTCCCCAGAGCGGGGAATGAAAGGGTTAACTCCCTAACTCCCCAGAGCAGGGAATGAAAGGGTTGACTCCCTAACTCCCCGGAGCTCTCAGAACAGAGCAGTAAAGAGTGCTTCACTCCCTAAACCTTTCCCAGGAGATAGTCAGAGCAGGGCCAAAAAGAATGTACTATATAAACAGGACCAGGGAGCACCTGGCACTCTAAGGTCAACCCAAGACCCTCGGTCTCCATGGTTACTCAGCCCCAGACCCTCAAATCAGCATTAGCCAGGTCCTGCGCCGCTCAAAATTAACCAATGCGATTTGCTTCTGTAAACTTGCTTGCCTCCTACATGTACCTTTAAAAACCCTACACAAATTCCCCTCGGGGCCCCTCTGCACTTGTTTGCCTGAGGGACCCCATGCGCATGGAAATAAACTTTTTTTCCTCACCAAGAGTTGAGTCCTTGGGGTCTCTTTCCCTGCGGCGTCGGCCCTAACATCTTGGAGGCCCCAGCGAGATAGCACGTCTCATGGAAGGTGACCTCAACGGCTCTGCGGTGGGTGAGTACGACCGGTCGCTTCTTATTTTTACTCTGAGGATCAATCTACCGGTATTTTACGCCCCGAGCCAAACGGCTCCGGTCTAGGGGCAATTTTTGTTACCTGTTTTTGTTATCTGTTCTCTGTTCTTGGGTGATCGGGGGACGCCCCACACGGTTTTCCGTGACTCACCGTCTGCGATAGGATTTTCCTATCGGTTTGGGGCCCAATCTGTGGTCCGTCAGGGCCAATTCGGAGACACCCTCTGAGGTGACTCGTTTGGGGAATTTCATTCCCAATCTGTGGTCCGTCTGGGCCAATCTGGGGAATTTCATTCCCAATCTGTGGTCCGTCCGGGCCAATCTGGAGGCACCCCCTAAGGTGACTCGTTTGATGTGAAACTAATGCGTGAGAGTGAGGTGGCCGGCCTGTTTGTCCTGTGTGTTGTGACTGTTGTGATCAGTTATTTGTTGTGTCGCGCGTACGCTAACCACTCTTTGTCTTCAGAACACCATGGGACAAATGACATCGTCCCCATTGTCCCTCACCCTCGACCATTGGTCGGAGGTTCGAGAGAGGGCTCACAATCTCTCCTTTCAGGTTAAAAAAGTAAATGGCAGACTTTCTGCTCGTCTGAGTGGCCCACATTCTCCGTGGATTGGCCACCAGAGGGGACTTTCCACCTTCCCCTCATCTTAGCAGTTAAGAACATCATCTTCCGCCCTGGACGAGAGAGCCACCCCGACTGGGTCACCTACATCTTGGTATGGCAAGACCTCAGGGAGAAGCCCCCACCGTGGGTAAAACCCTTCCTTCCTCCGCCCTCTCCTTGGTTGCCTGTTTAAACTTGTTACTAACTTAGGGGCTTGTTGCCCATTTCTGTTGCAGGATCCATATGGCTTATTAGATTCAAGGTTCATGATAAGAAAAATTATTTCCTTTAGCTGACCAAACTATGCAAGAAGCTCCCTTTGTTTGTGTCTTTAATGTTGTGGCACCTTGTTTAATATGTAAGACTTCAATTGATTGCTTGCAACCTCGGCATGCCTTTTAAAAGGAGTATTTTTTCTCTCTGGTGAAAATGTAAACATGTACACATATATATGTATATCTATGGTTGTTAAGAGTCATGTCAACTTTGCCAAGTAAAAACCAGGCGGTACTATATTTGAGCCAGTTAAAAGGTTACAGTTTTGTTTTTAAAATACAACATTTTTATGTGGTAAAAAGACATAAAATAAGTATGTTCTGGGCTACTAGAAGGTGACTTCAAGGGTTTTGTTGAGAGTTTTGATGTTGTCTGAGAAATGAGAAAAAAAGGTAATTGACTGGTAATAGTAAAAAGAGGGACAAAGAGAGTGGTCTTCAAGTAAAGGTGTCTGGCTATGCCAGAATGTAGAAAAAGATTAAAGCTTAGTTTGAGAGGTATTATTGTAAGTTGTAGAAGGCTCAAGAGGATGTGAATTTTATTTGTCTTGGTTTATAGTACTACAAATAACAGGTTTGACAAAAAGTAAATGTGTTCAGAATTTGACAGTATTAGATCAGTTTTGGTAAAAGTATACATAAGATTGTACTTTGCTGCAAAATGTTTTCATTAAAATGAGATTATAGGTGATATTAAAAATAAGATACAAGTTCTTACATGCGCTGTAAACATCTGGGAGATTATACAGCACAATTTTGTTACCTATGAAAAAGCCCTTTTTGTTAAAAATATAATTTTAATAAAATAATGGCCTGTCACGTGACACCCTTGGACAAAAAAACAGTGTGCCATCCAGATGAAGCCGGCTCTCTGATCCGGAATGCCAAAACCATGTTCTCCTTTTGTGCCACCCTGACTGGACATCCAGAGGTAAGGAGGTTTCCCAATATTGCCAGTTGTTCTCTTTGTAACTCAGTCGGCCCCACATGTTAGACAAAAATTACAAAGGTTTGAGAGGTTTAAGAAAATGCCCCTCAGCCAGTTAATAGAGATAGCACAAAAAGGTCTTTGAGAACTGAAAAATTTACAAAAAGATAGCCAAGATGTTAAAATTGCTCTATGAGAAAAAACTTTTAAAAAACAGACGAGACTTTCTGGGGGCAGTTGGATACTGTAGGCTAAATTTTACTGAAAAGCTTGCCTCTATATGACTCCCATAAGGGAGAAACTCAAAATTCACTGAACTGGACTGATAAATGTAAACAGGCCTTCCAACAGCTCAAGCGGGCCTTGACAGAGGACCCAGCCCTGGGACTCCCTGACGTTACCAAGCCTTTCATCTTGTTCATAGATAAACTCAGGGACATTGCCAAAAGAGTCCTAACTCAGGACATTGGCCCTTAAAAGAGGCCTATAGCCTACCTCTCCAAAAGACTTGATCCAGTGACAGGAGTATGGCCCCCTGCCTTAGAATACTAGCTACTGTGACAATGTTACTTAAGGAGACAAAAAAAAACTCGCTTTGGGCAAGTGATTTCTGTGGTAACCTCTCACAGTTTAGAGACTCTTATCAAAACCCCCCCTAAAAAAAAAAAAAAAAAAAAAAAAAAAGGGCTCTCAAATGCCAGAATTCTACTGTCAAGCCCTGCTTCTAGACCCAGAGTTAATGATATTCAAGACTTCTTCAGCTTTAAACCCAGCCACCCTTATGCCTGATGATGATCCGGAGGAACAAAGGACACCTCTCCATGAGTGTGCTGACATCCTCGAACTGCAGCAGAACCTACAGGCTGATCTTACTGACCAGCTTTTGGGAAATGCCAACAACTGTTCGATGAAAACAGCTTCATCCAAAACGACAAACGAGTGGCCGGGGCAGCAGTGACCACCGAAAAGGAGGTACTCTGGGTTAAGCGGGTAGAGCCTGGCACTTCTGCCCAAAAGGCAGAGCTTGTTGCTTTGACTGAGAGGCTAAAACTAGCCACGGAAAAGAGGGTAAACATTTTTTTTACTGAAGACATCCCTTTGCTACTGTACATATACGGGGAAGCCATCTAAAAATGCTCCACAGATTCTAGATTTGCTGGCAGCTGTCTGGCTGCCTCAATGGGTTGCTATTCCTTACAAGGCTCACCCAACCAGAGATAAAAAATAACAACCACATCAGAGGGGTCAACCAAGAAAGTAACTGCTCTGATACTAGTCCTCTGACCTTGTCAGAACTAGTCTACACAAAAAAAAAAAGACCTACAGTTGACATCTCAACTTGGAATAAAGTCTCCCACCCCAAGGGGCTAATACCAGTTACCTGATAAACAAGTACTGTTACTGGAGGCACTAGGATGGGAGCTGTTTCACCTTACAGAATTGTTCAGAACTCAGTATTTTATTCCAAAACTCTACAAACTGACCACCTCTTCGAGCTCCAGATGCCCACAGTGTTTGTTAGTCAACTCAGCCAAGAGCTCTGCGTTGGAGACCACCCGACATCAAAAAATTGTTCCAGGAGAACATTAGAAAATAAACTTCATGGACATGGTAAAACTTAATTTACAGGGACACTGCTATCTCTTGGTATTAATAAACATTTTTACTGGCTAGGTAGAGGCTTTCCCTACTAAGTCTGAGTCAGCCTTAGTGGTAGTTAAAAGGCTATTACATGAGATCATACCTTGATTTGGCCTCCCACTATCAATGGGGTCCGATAATGGCCTGGCTTTCATAGCCCGAGTCACCCAAAAGTTAGCCCAGACATTAAAGATTAATTAAAACTCCACTGTGCCTATCAGCCACAAAGCTCAGGGCAAATAAAACGTATGAACCAAAGTCTCAAGGACATTTTAGCTAAGCTGTCTTCAAAAACTGGCAATAATTGGATGAGCCTTCTTCCCTTTGCACTGTTAAGAGCTAGATATACCCCATATGTTTCTAAAATTTCCCCCTTTAAAGCCATGTTTGGGAGGCCCCCGCCATTGGTTCCAAGATTGTCAGAAGACAAATTAGCTGAAATTACTAATCAAAATCTTAAGTCCCTACAGACACTCCAACCTGTGTTGGCCTGGATCCACCAGCTGTTTAGACAAAAACACTTGGACCTGCCTTCAGAGACCAAGGCCTCAAGGACTCCAGTCTTGGTTCGATGTCACCACCGTGACTCCCTTAAACCCCGCTGAGAAAGACCTTTCACCGTGGTGCTCAGTACCCCCACTGCCATCAAGGTAGCAGGAAAAACTGCGCGGATTCACTACACTCATGTAAAGCCACTGGAAACAGCAGACAACGAGGGACATACTCAGTGGACTACACAACAGACTGGTAACCCTTAAAGTTAAAAATTGACTAACTGTTTTAGCTTGCTTGTTTTGATTTTAATAACATTAATGCCGACCTTACATGGCGGCTTTGGTCCCCCTGTAAGCAAAAAAAAACCAATTGTTAAAGATCTTTTGTTTTAAAAAAAAAAAAAAAAAAAAGGGGGGTCTCTGCGCCGCACTTAAAAAAAAAATGTTGTTTTTACACTGATCATACTGGGATTGTAAAAGATACAATAAAAAAGTTGAGATAGAAAATCAGATCTCAAGAGCCCCCTTCAAATAAAGCCAAAGTGTTCTCTTTCCGAGAATCAATTCTGCCCTATATCCTCCCTTTATTGAGACCCCTGGCCGGATTCATTATAGTCATGGCTATAGCCCCTTGCCTCATTAACCGAGTAACCCGGTTTGTAAGGGCTCAGATCTCTCAGGTAAAAGTTATGGTGCTACGTCAACAATATGACCCCTTACCTATACAGGACTTTTAGGATTAAAAGTCATTGGAGAAATAAAAGGGGGGAATGTGAGAGTCGACCCCCCTGCTACAACCCCCTCCCCAGAGCGGAGAATGAAAGGGTTAACTCCCTAACTCCCCAGAGCGGGGAATGAAAGGGTTAACTCCCTAACTCCCCAGAGCAGGGAATGAAAGGGTTGACTCCCTAACTCCCCGGAGCTCTCAGAACAGAGCAGTAAAGAGTGCTTCACTCCCTAAACCTTTCCCAGGAGATAGTCAGAGCAGGGCCAAAAAGAATGTACTATATAAACAGGACCAGGGAGCACCTGGCACTCTAAGGTCAACCCAAGACCCTCGGTCTCCATGGTTACTCAGCCCCAGACCCTCAAATCAGCATTAGCCAGGTCCTGCGCCGCTCAAAATTAACCAATGCGATTTGCTTCTGTAAACTTGCTTGCCTCCTACATGTACCTTTAAAAACCCTACACAAATTCCCCTCGGGGCCCCTCTGCACTTGTTTGCCTGAGGGACCCCATGCGCATGGAAATAAACTTTTTTTCCTCACCAAGAGTTGAGTCCTTGGGGTCTCTTTCCCTGCGGCGTCGGCCCTAACACTTCTAAGCTACCTTTGGTGTGTGTGGTGCTGGGGTTGGAACGCGGGACTTCATACATGCAAGACAAGAGCTCTACCACTGAGTCACATCCCCAGTTTCTAATCTACTCCTGAGTGAAAAAGAAAATCAAGACCGAAATACAAATTTATCCAAAAATGAACAATGAGAGCAGGATATCAAAACCCATGAGGGATAGCCAAAGCTCCAAAGATGTTCAATAGCTTTAAATTCATCATTAGGAAAAAAAACCTCAAACAGACAAAACAACTTATTTGAGAAAGGAACAAAAGACATTCATGGAAGTTTAAAGATGGAATTATAAAAGACTAAGAAAAAATACTGGACAATGATCACAAATGAGTTCTTTGAAATATCAGTGAAACAGAATTACTCTTTCATTTACCAACTTCACATATACTCATCTTTTTTTTTTTTTTTTTTTTTTTTTTTTAGTACTGGGGATCGAACTCATGACCTGGTGCTTGCCAGGCAGGTGCTTACACCACTGAGCTAAACCCCCAGCCCCATATATTATCATTATCATTTTTGTCAACTCTTTCATGTTTGGTGACCCTTTAGTGTCTTCTTAGGGAACGCAGATTTTACTCATTTCTTTTCCTCTTTTTATGGGATAGGATCTCCCTGTCTAGCCAGGTTAGCTTTGAACTCATTATAGTAGCCCAGGCTGGCCTGGTGATCCTCCTGCCTCAGCCTCCAGGGCTAGGATTACAGGCATATTCCACTACCCCGTCTTTATCCATTTTTCTATCCTCCCCCACCACACTGAGATCACAGATGGCCTGGTGCACGCTGCACAAGTGCTGTGCCACTGAGCTGAATCCACTCCCTCTGCTCAGTTTTTAAAGCACTTTTGTCATTGCTCTCAAGCATCTCTTCATAGATCCTGGTTGGTAAATATGTGAACATCACAAATACTACAAGTGTTTTAGGGGCTGGGGATTTAGCTCAGCGGCACAAGTGCGCCTGCCTTGCAAGCGCATGTTCGTGAGTTTGATCCCCAGTACTGATAAAAAAAAAAAAAAAAGTGTTTTCTCATAGACTGTCTTTTAATATCTGTGTGGGGCTTTTTTCTTTTTCTTTGTCTGAGACAGGGTTTCACTGTACAGTGTCAGGCTGGCATTGAAATCACAGCAATCCTCCTGCCTCAGTCTCCCGAGTGCTGAGATTATAGGAATACACTACCACATCTCGCCATCTGTGTTTTTTTTTTTGTCTTTTTGTCTTTTTTCATTTTTATCAGTACCAAGGATCGAACTCACGACCGCCTGCTTGCAAGGCAGGTACTTATGCCACTGAGCTAAGTCCCCAGCCCCTGAGCTAAATCCCCAGTCCCTATCTGTGTGTTCTTGATTGTACACTTTAAAAATATGCCAGGCTTTTCTTTTAAGGATTTTATATTTGACCTAAGACATGCATTCCTCATTCAGGATTATTTATTTATTTATTTACTTTTGGTTTTGCTGAGACAGTCTTGCTCTGAAGTCTGGACTAGGCTTGAACTTGTGGCAATCCTCTTGCCTCAGCCTCCTAAGTGCTGCAATTATAGGCAGGTACCACCATTCCTGGCTCTTGGTTTGTTTGTTTTTTTTTTTTTAACTTTATTTTATTTTATTTTATTTATTTATTTTTTGTCTTTTTCGTTTTTATCGGTACCAGGGATCGAACTCACGACTGTCTGCTTGCAAGGCAGGCGCTTATGCTGCTGAGCTAAATCCCCAGCCCCTTTAACTTTATTTTAAAAAGAAAGAAACCAAAAGTTTGAAACACAACAACCATTAGGTGGTAACAGTGGTATATACACTGCATATTGTTATATTCAAGTCAGTCTCAAAGCACAAGACATTTGCATTTGATTGTCCAAATAATACTGGCACAAACCTTTGACTTCAATGAGCTCAGAGAAATCAGTTGTATAACTACTTTAACTATCTTTTGCTTCTGGGATTTTAAACCTGGCTCATACGCACTCTCTCCAGGCTTCGGCTGTTTGGGTTTAACGCTGTGTACAGGTAGTGTAGGGCGGGGCTGTACCCTATCACCTTGTAAATGGAGAGCTTGTCATCCCCAATACCATCTATTGAAAAATGTTTCCTGCTAGTTTGAATTCCATGCTAAGCAAAATTAAATCTCCAGAATAACATGGGTTGACTTCTGAACTATTTGTCCTAGATTGTGGCTGACCTACCACTACATAATTTTAATTGTTAGGGCTTACAGTAGACAAGACTTTGCTCTATTTTCAAAATCATTGTACCATCTTTTTTCATTACATAAGACTTGAAAGCATCTTTATTTTTTCCAAGTTATATAATGAATACATTAGAAATACATTATTTACTTTTGCATGTTTTTGAACTGAGTAAACAAGGTAACACACAACATGGATTATTCTACAGCTTGCTTCCTTCACTCAAGAATGTCTATCTAGGACTGGGGATTTAGCTCATTGGCATAAGTGCCTACCTGCCAAGCACAAGGTTGTACGTTTGATCCCTGGCACCAAAAAAAAAAAAAAAAAAAAAAAAAAAAAAAAAAAAAAAAAAAAAAAAGAAAGAAAGAAAGAAAAGAAAAGAAATATCTGACAGACCCATTCTTGCCATTGAGTACAGTGAGAGGGTCCACAATTTTGATGTTAAGTTTTCTGCATTGGACACTAAAACAGTATGAACAGATGTGAGGCTGTTCGCAGCACATCTTCAAGGCTGTGAGCTGGAATACACCTGTTTCCACTCACCCACATCCACACTGTACTGCTGAAGCAGGTCTTTAGTCCATTCTGATAGTGTCTTTTACTCTGTTTTCATTTATTGAATTAAATTACATCAGTAATCACATCTATCTGATGCATCTGTTTTGTTGTTTTATGTTTCTCTTCCCTCTCTTGGATTTTTCTGGCTCTACTGTGAGTTATTTTTATACTGTCCTCCCTTCTTGTTGGGACATGTCTCCTTCTGTTCTCTCTCATCCAAGTACTAACCAGGCAGGACCCTTCTTAGCTTCCGAGTTTAGATGAATTCAAGCACATTCAGGGTGGTAAGGCCGTAGACTCTGTTCTCTGATGCAAGCACAGTATGTAGGCAAATTCATCAGGGCCTCACACTGACAGACATCTCCATCCTGCTCTCAAGTGATATCAGGGGCTCCAAGCCCTGTGGCTCCATCGCAGGTCCACCTCATGTCTGTCCCAATCGCATCCTGGATTTCTTTTTTTCTTTCTTTTTTTTTTTTTTTTGGTCTTTTTCATTTTTATTGGTACCAGGGATCGAACTCACGACCGCCTGCTTGCAAGGCAGGTGCTTACGCCGCTGAGCTAAACCCCCAGCCCCGCATCTTGGATTTCTATGAGGATTGCCAGGGACTGCTGCTGCCCATCAGTGCTAGTTTCAATTTGCCCACCTACTTTTTTCTTCCTAATGAGGTATGTCCCAGTTCTTTTTTCTTTCTCTTAGAAACAAGGTCACTAAGTTGCCCCAGGATAGCCTCAAACTTGTGATCCTTCTGCTTGAGCCTCCCACAGTATTAGGATTACAAGTGTTCATTCATTGTGTACTTCAGGCTGGTATCACTTTGCTGCTCTTTGATATCTATCCACAGGATGGTGGTGACAGTCTGCAACAGGAAACTTTGTTGTTTATAATTTTACTTATTTTGCCTTCTTGTACAAGATAGTTTTGCTGGGTATAAATCAAAAGCTGTTCATTATTTTCTCTCAGCATATGCATGTCATCCTTTGTAACAAGTTCCCTGGATGCCAAAAGGCAGCTGTCAGTCTCTCTGCTGCTCCTTTGAAGGGTCTCTGCCTTTCTGCTCAGCTGCTTCTCAGGTTTTGTCTCTGGGACGCTGGCAGCTTTCCTATGGTGGCTGTAGGTATACCATCTCATCTACTCTGCTTGGGTTCTGCTGGGCCTCAGGACTAGTCTGATTCACTGTCTGTGACAGCCAGCCTCCTCGCAGGAGCCTGCCCTTCTGCCCTCCTAAGAATCATACCCTGTACTGCCCCTTCCATAGGAAGCACTAGGACCAATGTAATCAAATGGTATTGTGAGTAAAATGGAGTCTAAACGCCACAGTGGCTTCCACTTTGCTCTATGCTCTGGGGGTGGCAGTGGGGGCTGCCAGGCTGTAACCCACACAGGGAAGATCCATGGACTCCCAACCACCCTTGGAGGGAGCCACCATGAAAGCAGCCTCTGGCCACACTCAAGCTTTCGGATTACTGTGGCTTGGGCTTATATCATGATTGTAATGTCCTGACAGACAGGGTTGCAAACGAAAGCCACCTAGCTAAGCAGCTCCCAAATTCCTGGCCTACAGAAACAGAGGCAAAAATATTTATTATTGTCTTAAGTGCTAAGTTTTGCAGGCACTTTGCTATGTAGCAAAAGACAGAAACACTATGTGCATTCTGAGTAAAGTTTTCAAGATTCATGAAAAAAATTTTTTTTTTGTCTTTTTCATTTTTATTGGTACCAGGGATCAAACTCATGACCACCTGCTTGCAAGGTAGGTGCTTATGCCACTGAGCTAAATCCCCAGCCCCCGATTCATGAACAAAATTTAATATGTATTGCACTGAATTATTTTGGGGAACTTGGCAGGTTTAAAACATTTAATAAAAGTTAGGTATAGGGGTACATACCTGTCATCCCAGAAGGCTAGGGCAGGAAGATTGCTGTGAGTTCAAGGCCAGCCTGGACTACACAGTGAGACTTTGTCTCAAAAAAATAAATAAAACATTAAGTTAAAAAAGATTAAATATAGCCAGCTGTGGTAGCACACACCTGTAATCCCAAGAAGATCACAAGTTCAAGCCCAGCTTGGGCAGTTTAGTGACAGACTCAGTCCTGCTGTCTCAGCCATCCAAGTAGCTGGGAATATAGATGAGCACCACTGCTCTGGCATAAAAAGATTTAATTTTAGGGATTTCATGTGTCATGTTGCTACAGTAAATGGGAACCTTTCCCATTGCATTTTCTGGTTGCTTATTTTTAGTGTTGAAACTAGTAAGTTTCAAATGGTAACCACATAATTACTCTTTTGTTTGTGTGTGTATATTTTTAAACTGACTTGAGATTTTGTAGGTGGACAATATATTTCTGTAAACAGTGACCATTTAGTCTTTTCTATCTAGATTTTTATACCACCTTAGTTTTCATAACTGTGGCAATCGAAGCTTTGTGACACAAATTCCTCTCTGTTGGGTTGAAGCTATGCTGGATGTTCTTATTTTTCCATAGAAACTTTGTCTGGTTTGTGGGCTTGAAAGAGGAAATAAGTGTTTAGCATTTTTATGGTGATATATAGAATTCTATGCTGGCAAGCATTCCTCTTCATGAATGCAATGTCTCTTCCCGTTGGTCAGGTCTCTTGACTCTTCTGCAGTGTTTCAAAGTTCCTTTACATATTTCCTAATGTTATTCCTGCTGTCCAATGTAAGCAGACCTTCATCACTAATCTGCTTGAGCCTGCTATTGTATCTATATGGACTTTCTTGTCTTTTTGAGACAAGATCTTGCTATGTAGCCCAGGCTGGTCTCAAACTTGCAACGATCGTGTCTCGGCCTCTGGGCCTCCCGAGAGTGCTGAACTACTGATGCCTGTCCCTTCCTTATGAATCCTTGGACCATGCATGGATCCCACTTCCAGACTGACCAGGATAGTCACAGTCATCAAGGGGGGTGGGCTTCATGGTATCAGTGCTTCTCGGCTACTCATTCACCATACCGGTGAAGGGAGCTGTCCTGCTTCTGCTGCCTCCCACCCCAAGTCCTCTCTGTTTTCTGTATTGTGGCTCCCATCTCCCTTCAAGCCCTCTGCAGTCACATTGCCAGATTATCAGGAGGCAGGAGTGCCATGTTTGGAGCTCTGCCCACTGCTCTGGGATAGATAGCTGGGGACCCTCTGCTGAGGTGGTCTTGTTGGCCTCTGGCCTCAGCCCAAGGTTTCTGTCTTCTGTGAACACATGTCCAGCTGTGTGTGGCCCTGGGGCCCATATCAAGTACAGCAGAGATGGCTCTGGGGGCTCAGACTTGGAGGGGGTAGGGACAAAGGGCTTACAATAGATGAGCAAGGGTACTCTGAGGAGGTAACAATTGAGAGGGAGAAAGTTGTAGGAAGACCCAGAAGAAAAGCACTTTATACCTGAGCAACAGAGACAAGACACCTTGCAGAACAAAGTCAGAGACTGCAGCGTGGGCATCCCTCAGGGCCACGACCAGCAGCAGGGCCAGAGAACACAGACAGGAAGAGGCCCAGGAGCGCTGCACAGAAGCCAATCCCAAAGAGGGACCAGGGTGTCACAGGCACTGCAGCAACTCCCTGTCCTTGGGCAGGAACCTAATATAGACCTAGTGTCTCCTCATATCCCTGCCTCTTCTGCCAGAAGGCTTTGTGGCTCTTCCCCACCACTCCATCCTCCTCCCAAGCAGTCCTCACCAGGTGGCCAGGCCAGCGCCAGTGATGTAGAATGCCTGTCACACAGTGTTGGCCTCACAAAAGCTGAGGCATCTTTAGGCTGGTTGTTGCACTGGCCACCCTCAGGGATCTTAGGTCCTAGCGGATACACGTAGGAGGGCACAACATAGCCACACAACTCGAAGCTGGCTTCTATTCCCTTTACCTCTGACCTAGTGAGCACATATGCAAACACAGACACGGCAGTGCATGGCCCATCAGGCTCCCTATAGTAGCCTGTCTACAGCATCAGAAGCCTCTTGTATACGTGTCTGCTCACAGCCTAGTCTATCTGGCTGGGCTGGAACTCCCTCCCTAGATAGAACCACACAGGTGGTCTGGCTTCCTCTGCTTATGGCATGTCTCCAGTTCTGTACAACTGTTCCTGTCCCCCACCCACTGTGGGTGTACTTAGACTCTGTCCACTACTACTATGTATAAACTACATTCACTGCTTGCTGTCCAGCGAGGGGGACAGGAGATTTGCTTCCAGCCTGGCATTGTTACAGGCAGTGCAGCCATGTATTTCAGTGACAGCTGCCTGCCTGGTCAGGAGGGTACTGTCTGCTGTGGGGAACTCATTCTCTCTGCCCCTCCAAGACACCTTCTCTGCTCTGGGCTCTGGGGTGGGGCACTGGGTACTGACAAGACTCTGGTGAGGGATGAGACAGATTTGTTTTGTGCCTGGCCTCAGGTGGCTGCTCCGCTGTGCCCAGCAAGGAGGAGCAAAAGAGGTGTGAACTACCTAGCTGCCTATCAGCGATGGGGAGAGAGCCCCTTACCCTTCGTCATAGTACCCTTCAGGTCTCTCTTGGGCCTTAAGGGCCCCTTCTCTATGCTGGAAAACCAGGCCCCCTACCCTAGACTTCCAAAGGAACCTTTAGCTTACCCAGTCTTGTGTCTGAAGTCCTTGCTGAGCGCTGCTCTGGGTGCTAGGCTGGCCCCAGGCCGCTACTGGGCTATGTGGGTGAGGAGCCCGCCTGCACTCCTCGGGGTGCTGCGACTGCCAGGTCCTCCCCGGGGGACACAGCTGCCTGCTGTCCATTTCTGCTCTCTGCGGGTGGATCTGCACCTTGGTGGGGGATGCCATGGAGCAGGATAGCACGGGGGCAGCAAGGTAAAGCTCTCTGCTGAGGTCACCTTCCAGCCCGACCAGATCCTTGCCCCACGGGGGGTCTCCGAGTGATCTGCTCCCACGGCTCTTGCACTCCAGGTGGAAGCTGAAGCTGCCTTTCTCTGCCCCAGTCCTGCCAATACACGACCTTATCAACTTTGCATGATCTCCCACGGACACTGTCTAGGATCCCGGGTTCCCGCTCCAGGGCGCCAGTCCTCAGCCGCCTCCCTCCTGTGATCTCGCCTCCAACCACATTACACCTATGACCTGGGCCCCCAGCTCTCCTTATCCACGTCCGAGGTGGCTCGGCCGGCGGGTACAACTAGGGAGCTAAGGAGGGCCCGGGGGGACTCACGGAGGCGGGGAGGGGGCCCCCGGAATGGAGAAGGGTCGGCGATAGAGGGGCGGAGTTCGTGGGGGTGTGGTACAGAGCGGGGTCTGTGGGACGCGACAAGGCGAAGCGCGAAGCCTATGGGATCCGCGACGGGAGCATGCAGGCTACTTAAAACAGAAAGTGCAGGCGGCGCAGAGTCCTCGGCGGCCCGGGGGGCGGAGCCCCCTCGGAACTTCCGCTCAATGCCCCGCCCAACGCTTCCGGTCCGTTGCGCTCACCCACCCGGATCCCCAGCGCTGTGGCAGAGAGAAATCAGAACAGGAAGCGGAAAGAGTGCCCTCAGTTTATTAATGTCGCTTCAGCACCTTAGAGTCGTCCCCATGGGACAGATTAGCGTCTGCTATTTACATTAATCCTGCTTCTCGTTAAAAAAAATTAGCAACACGTACACCATAGACACCAGTCACTGTGAGCAGGGGGCGGCCCCGCGGCCCTTCTGCAGGGCGGGCAGCCGCGGCGCCAGGACTGACGAGCACGCGGCTGGAAGGGCGGCTCCTGCCTGGCCCCGCCGTGACTGGTGGAGCAGAGCAGCCCGCTGCCAGCAGGGAATCCCTACACCCACTCTCCACTGTGCGGTCATATCAGCTGTCAGATGGCTTTGGCTTCTCACCCCTCCAGAGGTCAAAGTGCTTTTCCATGAATCCGTACAACAGCTCCATGAGGTAGGCAGGGAAAATGCGACTATCCCTCTAACTGATGGGAAACTGAGGCAGTGAGAGGCGTGCGGCCCAGGTTTCCACCTGCACATTTCCCTAACACGGCCTGCTGTAGTGGAGACCACACAGCACTCACTGCAGGACTGATGGGCTCTTACTCTGCAGGCCTGGCCATGGGATGGGCTCTGCCCACATCTTTTCCTTACCTGAGCAAGAGTGGGGTTGTGGGGCCAGTCACGGGGAGGTGGTCTCCAAGAAAGGGCTGCCCACTGCAGGAAGCTGGGCAGCTCCTGTGCCCTGCAGGCTAAAAAGCCAAGCTATATCCCTACCAATGGTGATTTTTAGGAAGAAACTGGTTACAAAGGTAAAACAGGCTCTGAAACCCAAAGGCCAACGTTTCCAGCACTTGACACTGAGCTAGCCTGATCCCTTTCTGGCCCTTTGCAGAGGCTGTCCGCTAAGTAGTGCCTCAGGATCTGGTCCTAGGTGAAGCGGGAGCCACAGGGTTCATGGGAAGGACATTCTCAGGCTGTCTAAAGTTTGCACTCAAGGCAATGGGACAGAACCCGACCTAGTCACTAGCCCCAGCTCCCACCCCACACACTGGACAAAATGGAGTTTGTTTAGCCACCTGAGAAGGAAGCAGGCTAGCAGGTAGGTAACAGGTAAGGAAATGGGCCATTTTCTCCCCAAGATGGGGACTCCTCTGTGACTTGACCGGTCCTACAGTTTGGCACTGTTTTCTGAGCACAGCTTGTGTAGCTCTCAAAACACCAGGACCACAGTTTCTGGGAGGGCCACCCCTGTTCACGGCAGGGGTACCATTTCCAAGGAGGGGGCTTTTCCTAGGAGACCCCAGGTGTGGACTTTGGAAAAAGAGCACTGAGCTGCTTCTCCTACCCTGTCAGCCTGCTGAGGCTGGCAGTCAGATGGACAATTCTGAGGCATGGGTGGGTGGGGGCAGGGTGTCCCCCAGGATAGGATCCTAATACAACATGCTGCTCTCAGGAGTATGGCCAGGAGGGTCCCAACACTGTGGGTGTACTTAGACTCTGTGACAGGCCAGCCTGCTTGATCCTTTGCTGGCCACATAGTTGCTAAATGTCCTACATATGCACCTGCTCATCAGTTGACCACAAACCTTGAATCTTAACCTAGATACCGACATGACCAGTCCTGGACACTCCTGGACAGCAGGCAAGTTGGGGGGTGGATGGATGGTGCAGCAGAGCAACTTGGACACTGGGACATTTTCAGGGAACCCCTGAGACTGACAGGCTAAGGCAGCCTCAGTGTCAGACCAGTGAGGGGATGAGGTTGGACAGGACCTGCTGGGGACTTCAGGAGAGCAACAGCTGTTTGGCAGCTATATGGTAATGTGTATTTGAAAGCATTAGAAAGATATGCTACTATAAAACCTCTCCCTGGAGGCTAGAGTTTATTGGGAGCCCCGAATGGGTGGAGCTGGGATCTGGGGTGTCCTCTGCCAGGAAGCTGAGTGAGCCTGCAACCTATGACCTCTCACCACCAGACTCAGAGCTCCTGGAGGACGCAGTGTCCTGGCTTCTGGAAAGGGTATGATGCAGGCAGAACCCTCCTTGCTGTAGGGTCTGGGGCCTCCTGTGCTGGAATGAACCTCCCTGGGCCCCACAGCCTTGTGTTTGCTGGGCCAAATGTCTGGTTAATAAGCAGAGCAATTACTCAGCATCCAGCAGGGAGCTGACCTTAAGTTTCCAGCTGCGAGCACATTTGTACTTAAGACTGTTTCTTTGTGTTTTTAAGGATCTGTCTTTGTAGTAAACTGAAATGTTAAGGAAACGTGGGCCTCTCCACAGTCCTGTGGCATGCCCCTCTCTGAATGAGGCTAGAAGGTGGCCTTAGAGTGTCCGAAGATGCAGATGGGGAAGTGCTTCACATGCGAGGACCATTGCGCGGCCAGCTGGAAGAACTTGACATCACTGCACTCCACGCCGTCGATGAGGACTGTGGGAGAGGGCTGCCTGACCGCCTGCCCCCCTAGCCCCCCAGCCCCCCCCAACCTCCCCCCAGCCCACCATTGTCTTTGAGCTAGAAGCACATGGAGCCCAAAGTTGGAGGTACAGACTGCCTGGGAGCCCTGCTCACCAGGCCCTTTTTGCTGTGTGGTCTCCAAGGACCAGAGGACTTTGATCAACAGCTCATGCAATGTGTTATTATTATTATTATTATTTCGGTACTGGGAATCAAACTCATGACCTCATACTTGCCAGGCAGGCGCTTACCACTGAGCTAAATCCCCAACCTCTGGCAGCTCGTCCAGAAGCTGCTGTTCAAACTCTCCTACCCCTAGGGGTCAGGGTACTGCAAACCCACTGGAAACACCTCCATCTGGAAGTTGCTGTGGCCAGAGCAGGATGACTACCATCTGGAGACCATCAGATTTGGCTGACAGAAGAGAAAACCTAGGAGCTTCAAGCTCTAGATCATTTCCTTGGGAGAACCCTCTGTCAAATATTTTTGAAATGTACAAACCAGTTTTTGAAAAACACAGAAAGGATTAAAAAATTACTTGAGTTTGAAAAACTATTTGATGCACTCAAATGTGAGCCTCATTGGAGTGTGTGCTGAGTATGGATAATGTGTGTTTCGCAGCAAAACAAGTAGTTTTGTGCTAGATTTAAGTCACCCCAAGAACCACCCCTCCACTCCCTTTTGTTTTATAGATGGAACCAAATGAGACCGCAAGTCACAGAGCAGACCCCCAAATGCCCCACTGCCATGCTCACCCCGCAGCATGTTCTGCTGATGCTTGGCCGTGCAGATCAGGCGGCTGATGCCCTCGATACACTGGCTTTTGGATTCCACGTCCTTGTCTTTCGTTTTCTTGGGTAAAAACATCACTGGGAGGAAAAGGGCCCTACTGTGTCCCACTGCTCCCCCAGGTCTGGCCAGAGCTCCTCAAGGCGAGCAGGACAAAAGGGTTGCCCATGTCCAGGCCCAAGCAGGCTGTGCTGTCCAGCATGCTTTGCCAATCCCTACTATGACGTCCACTCTAGGCCCCTCGAGTTTACTGGGAACCACACATAGGTGTGCTGGTGGGTGACATCTCCCGCTCCCCAATAGTCACCAAGGGGCACCCCCTCCCACTGTCCAGCCCTGCTCAGCCTAACCCCCACCTCACCCTTCTTGTTCTTCTCCTTGGTGACCACAGTCATGGACATGGTGGGTGTGGCCGTGGCATCGCCACTGCTGGGCAGCCTGCTGACCTGGAGGGACCGGAAAGTGCACTTGAGCGTGTTTTTGGTGGTGGGCAGGTCCTTCTTCTCGGCATCCCTCTTCCTGTCTGCAGGAGGTGCTGCTGTCCAGTAGTCCACCTGGAGCCCCATGAACTCAGCGCCGACACCTTGGCTGTGAAAGGCAGAGGGAGGTGCTCACATCCACAGCTGCTATTCTGGAGATGGCAGCACTGCTATCATAGGCAAAGGTGTGGCCAGCACCTGTCTCAACTTGCTGACTGTGGACTGCAGGATACTCTGTAGAACCATCTACATGCCGGTTGGTTGGGATGCCTGTGGCCCTGGCACTGTCACCACAGCAGACTGGCTGGGGGAATTTGGATGAGGAGCTGGCATTGACTGGGCCTTGAGGCCTGAGTGGGGGGCAAATCCCAGTGAAGCCTGGCTCTTTCTGGATGAGCAGAGAGACAGACCCAGGTGGCCTGGAAGCTGCCCCCCATGGAAGTTTGAGGCTGCCCCACATCCTTCGGCCTCAGTAAAAGGCCCCTATGAACAGAGCTGCAGGCAGGATCCAAACAGCCTATGTGCATTTGCAACATGGTGACTTTTGTCCTCCATAGCAACAACAGAAAAGCTGGGCCTGCTCCATTCTGGTTGCAGGTGGTGAGCCACGACCTCCACCACACAACCTCTGATGGGCTGAGTACATGAGGGTGGGTGTCATCTCAGAACAAGCAAGGTGAGGACATGCCATTTACCTGGGGGAAGACAGGCCTCCACTCACTGATGGGGAGGATGGCGGGGTTGGTGAGGCCTCCTTGGCTGCAGGCGACGTGGATGGTGGGGTGGAGGATAGCACGCTTGGGCCTGAGGGGGCTGCATCATCCGAGTCACCTTTGAGAAGAGTTGCAGGCCAGAAATGAGGCTGTGGCCAGGCCTAGGGACCAAGATCTAAGGAGATGGCCACAGCTGCCATGGCAATAGGGAGGTCCAGGTCAAGGATGGCAGGATGTTCTTTCTTGTCCAGGAGTTTTGCATGGTCCAACTCTGAGCAGAAGTGGCAGGGCTGGACCAGGCCCCCAGGCTCAAAGTACTACTAAGCTGTGGGACCACCTGTCTCAAAGACCATTCATTCACATGGGCCTCAAGGAGGGATGGTTACCTGACGTGGCAGAGGATGGTTCCACAATCCCAACCTTCACAACCTGGAAAACAACAGGTACTGGTGGATGCTATGGGATATTGGCCAGTTCCCCACCCTGTGTGGTGCCTCCTGCTGCCAGAATACCACGCCCAGGTCATAGGAGAAGCCTGTGTGACTGGCTGGCAAGACCAGGAAGTTGGTATGAAGGACACACTGCTCAAGTGCAGTCAGAAGCCTGCGTGGGGTGACAGGAACTGTGTTAGATCTGCACTGTCAGTGTGGTGGCCCCTTACCTAGAGGCTGTGTCTCCTGAGTGAACTTTGATACTGATTCAGTTTCTTAGCTACATGTGGTAATGGGTCAAGTGCCCAAGATCACAGGGTGTACTTGTCACCATACAGAGGCCCCTGGGGAAGGCTGCTCTATGTGAATTCAGCTGTCACTTGTAACCCTTGCTTGCCTGGAAGCCACTGTAAGGTCTCCCAGTAGACCCTCAGCTATAGGATGTATGATGGCAGGGTGCATTTAGATGGGGCTGGGAGAGAACATGGAGTGCCTTTAGCTTCCAGCAGGAGGAAAGGCCACAGCCTCAGCCCGGGCAGAGCAAACTGACAAGGTCCTCCCACCCTCACGCTTCTCCTGAGCTGTGATGCCAGGCCAGTACTATCTGACCCTGTGCCAATGCCCAGGAAGTCTGGAAAAATGGACACAGGCCCTCCTGTGTCTCACCCCCTCAAACATGGGAAGGAAGCAGCGGGTTTTGTGGGGATAATCTGAGGCAGTCCAGGGCTCATATGGGGAGGTGGCTGTGGAGTATGTATGCCAATGAAAAGCACTCTTAGCCAAGGCATCCTGGGCCCAGGATCCAGCAGGACCAGTGGTAGTACTTACCCCAACAAAGGGAATGAATCTCTGGGAGGACTCTTCATCAGGGCTAAGAGCAAGAAAAACCCATGGTCATGCTCGCCCTCACACTGACACCAACTTGCTCCTAGCCCTGTACCTCAGCAGCAGCCCCAGGCCCAGGGGCCCAGCCCCCAGCCCCAGCCCCAGTTCACCCTAGCATCTGCCCAGCTTGACATGTGGATCCCTCTGACAAGCTGCATGCAGGAAGGGAAAGGGGTCTCTACACTGGGCAGCCAGGATAGGCCCAAAATTAGGGAGCAAAGGCCAGAGCACAGAGCTCACAGGACTCTACTCTTCTGTACAGGTCCCTGTCACACAGGTACCAGTCAGTTCTGCCCAGTCCTGTCTGCTAATGGCACCTAACAAATTGGTTCTCTCCTGGACCTGGAGCCACCCATGCCCCAAAGACCTCAGATCTTGTGGAGAGTGGTCTGAGTCTTCTTCATCAATTGGGGGTGGTTGCCCCATAGTCATAGAGTGTAGAGGTTTCCTCTTGATGGTCTGAGAATTTCCAACTGCTCAGGTCAGGGGCACTGCTCAGAGTCAGCCCTGTGATGGGTACCATCCAGTACATGGGCCTCACAGTCTCTAGAGAGAGCAGGCCTGACAAGGACCATGGCTAGACAGCTGCCTGTCCTGAGTACCAACTGCATCTCCATCCTCTCAGAGCCTGGTAGAGGCAGAGGACTCAGATGCATGGAGTGTCGAGCTGGGTCGGCAGCATTGGTGTGGGCCCACCAAGAATGCATACCTAGCTGTTGCCAGCTGAGGCAGGTTCTCACAGGGAGTCCTCCCTCTGTCTTCCATCTCCGCCCTGAAGAACTGGCAGAAGCCTTGGAATGGAATGCTTACAGATTCTGTCTGTACCACTAAAGATAACAACCAAATTCCCCACCTTCATTCTTTCTCTACAGAAAGTAGCACTGAGAGAACCACCTGCTCTATCTCAAAAAACAAACAGGCCAGGCATAGTGGTGTGTGCCTGTAATTTTAGCACTCAGGAGGCTGAGGCAGGAGGATCATGGCAAGTTCAAGGCCAGCCTGAACTGCATAAGGAGACCCTGTCACAAAAAGACAAACAAACAAACAAAACCCAAATAGTCTGCAATCTGGGCCCAGCCTGCTCCAACCCATGCCCTAAGTATAACAGGTAACTCATGAGGTAGCCATCTACAGGGGGTATTTCCTGTCCCTGGGGCAGGGGACTTGGAAATCTCAATGACAGCTGAGTCCCTTTGGACCCAGAAATTCAAAATGGCAGGCAGGTGGTACCAGTCCCCAGGATGTGGGGAACTCCAACTTCCAAGGCCATTTGCCCTCTGCAGGGTCCAATGATGCTGGCAGGACAGACTCTTGTCCACACTCTCATCTCTGAGATATGAGGAGGCAGAGCATGGCTGACCAAGGCCATGTGTGGCTGAGACAGAGAAGACGCTACGGCATGAGGAAGCAGCTGGAACTCAAAGCCAAGCTGTGTCCCGGGCCATGCAGACACCAGCACAGGCATGACAGGGGTGACACCGGACTGTCACAAGGACCCAATCCCAGATGTGGAGGGGCTCCTGCACTATCACACACAGGCTTCTGAGAAGTTTTGCAGTTGGGCTCCTGAGACTGGCTTCTGTCCTGAGGGTGACCAAAGGTAGGCAGTCAGACCCCAACCCAGCCACCCTTGAAGGGCAAGCCCTGCTCCTGGAAGGAGACACTGTGTATGCAGGATCAGTACAGGCAAGAGCACCTTGATAAGACTGAGTGGTATCGGGCAGCGCTTTGCCTCCTGCCCAGAACGCTGGGCTTCACTCGTACCTGTCCCTACCATGTGCCGGTGTCACCTCTGTAAGGCGGCAGGGTGGGAAGGTTGGGATGGTAGTGTAACAGGATCTCCTCAAGCCTCATCTGCCGGGCCAACCCTGACAGAAGCTGCGGCTGCTGGGAGGGGACATGCTACAGATTCCAGAGATCACTGGCTATACAGCCAGGCGGCCAGGGTGCAGGGAAGGGGTACGCGATGGCTGGTCTTTCTCTGACCTTTGGGGCTTGTTTAGCAGGACAGTGTGGGTGCTCAGAGCCTGCCCATGGCTGGGATGGCTGGAGGGTGGTGTGTCTAGTCCCTCACACTCCCTGTGCTGGGGTGAGGGCAGCTTCCCTAGGAGAACTGAGGACCTGAGGTGGGGCAGAAGACATAGCATGGAAGCCACCTGGCCCAGGAAAAGGCAGCTGTGGGGGTACATGGGTTTAGCAGCCTGACACTCCCAAGTTTTCACAGGGTGCAACCAACCTTGGGGATAAAAGTGCTTTACTCCATCGGGGGTTTCTGTGGTATGGCTGTGTCCCCAGGAAAACTACAGAAGATGCCAAAACCTCCCCCTGCCCTCTGCCAACCCTGGAGCCAGACAAGGCTGAAAAGACGGTGGCTTGAGGAGGGGTTTCCTGTACCGGGTCTGTGACCTCCCACTGTGATGTCCCTGCACACTGGAGACATGTACCGATGCCTCCCTCCTGGGGCTGCATGCAAGCAGCCAGGCCCACCAATATAAAGTGCTTAGGGCAGCGCCCAGGATGAAGTGGCCCTGATCTAGTAGCAATGGCCAGAGGTCAGCATGGTCCTGGTGCCTACCTCTGGTTTAGCTGGAGCAACGCCATCCTGGCCTCAGAATCACAGACTTTCAGAGGTCTGCACCTCTCTCAGCAGGCCCTGCCTAGGCCACAAAGGCCTTAGGGACAGCAAGGCCACCTGCAGCTCCCACCTTACACAAGGCTGGCAGAGGAGGCATCCCCACTGTATCTCCAGTGTCCAGGGATCCTGCCTGAGGGCACCTCCTGCCACCTGGGGTGTCAAGGGACAGGGATTTGGGCAATGACTGCTAAACAAGCCCTAAAGACCAGCCTGGGACAGACAGGGGGGCACAGGCCAGATAGCTGTACCTTAGGGTAAAGTCAAAGTGAAAGTGCCTTTTCCTTTACAGAAAGCCACCAAAGAGAAAACAGACACGTTAAGGCACCTCAGGGTGGTGAGAGCTCTGCAGCATGGGCAACCCTCTGGGCAACTCTCTGCCTGCATCACAGCTAAGTGAGCCCAGAGCCACACTCAAAGAGGGTTCCATGCAGGGACACCGCTGCCCCTCCCCAAGCAGTTTGGAAGCACAGGCCCTGGCCAGGACAGTACTGGCCATCCCTATGGACTTCACTGTGCCTCACAGGTCTTTAACTTTCAGTCTAGAGCAGATATTGAATGTTGCTTAGAAATCAGCAGCATGCTGCTGTCTGCCCTCATGGAATGCAGGACTGCACCTTCCTAGATGGGGGTCTTTCTCCCACCAGACTCAGCCTCTGTCTCCCTTGTCTGCAAGTGGGGCAGCTTGCAGGCTTGTCCAGAGGCTGAGCCCACAGAGGGCCTAAAATTGTAAGATGCTCAACACTTGGTAGTGGTGGGAGCCCAGCAGGACCTCACCTACTCCAGGCTTCTATTTGGGGCAAGTGAGGATAAACACTGACTGTTCACCAAGCAGCCAGGCCAGGACCCATAAAGCCCAAGATTAGATCACTATATTGGAGAAACTCCAGCATGCGTAAACACAGAGGTGCTCAAACCATTCCCACAATCCTGGTCTGACTTGGGGTCAGCAGAAGTTCCCATAGTCCAGTCTCGCACATTAGGCTAGTGTGGGTGGGAGACCACAAAGGGGCAGTGGCTGGTGGCAGCTGTGAGGTGGGCCCACCGCATTACCTCTTCTGCTTGTAGGTCAGCATGGCCTCAGCAATGGGCAGCTGGTGGGCACAGTTGGCCCCTGCGATGTACTGGGTGATGCGTGACACGATGTCTGGTGTGTCCTGCACTGCACGAGGAGGTGGTGCTGGGTTGGCATGTGGCGGCCAGATGAGATCCAGGTTGGGGGGAGCAGTGTTTCACCCATGGTCCCAAGACAAGGAGTGCAAGGCCTTCTACCCAATGCAGCAGACCTGCTCCCTGGGGCCTATGGCCTTCCCAACAAGCCTGGGACTCAACCCTGCCTGCTGTCTGAGCCTTAGAAGGGCAAGGCACTTGTGGAGCTCTCTTAGGAAGGGTCTCAGCAACAAAGGGCCCTTCCTCCAGTGCAGGGGGCCATGGATACCAGGGGTATTCCCTCCCCAACCTAGCACTGCACCCAGCCTCACCTGCACTCTGGGCCTCCAGTTTGTTGAACAGGTCTCTCCAGGCCAGGTCCTGGAAGAAGTTGTGGTAGCGGTAGTCCACGGAGCCCAGGTACCTGGCCACGGGGTGGGAACCTGTGTGCCAGGGGAGCCATCACTGCATGGCTGGGCTGCTACCCCCCAGCTATGTGGTCCTGGGTCCTATGCGCTACACTGTTGTGCCAATCAGAGGAGCTGTGATGAATTCCACTTCCTGAAGCTCTACTAAGAGGCCCCCAGGATGCCAGTGTCTCACTTGTCAACAGACTGGCCATGCCTGCTTTGCAGCAATGGGCACGTGCACAGACCACAGGGAGCTCAACTATCATAGGCCCAGTAACTGAAAGGGTTCATCAGTCCCTCCTTTGAATTTTTGATGATGGAGACCAAATCCAGCATCCAGAATCTCAGAGACTAAGAAACAGAAGCTCAGCACAGGCACTGCAGGGGCAACAGCTTTGTCCTCTTACACAAAGGATAATCATGTCACTTTTCATTTAAATGATTAAAAAGTACACTGAATCACATAAAATTTTTTAAAATAATAGACATACCACATTGGCACCTTGACCCCAACCACAGCAGCTGAGCCATTTGAGCCCATGTGCTCAGTGGTCAGTGTCAGCTCTCACCCAGCGGGATGATGAGAAAGCGCATGTAGCCGAGCCAGTCAGGTGTCTTGTGGGACAGCTGCTCCACGAAGAGCCGCAGGATGGCACTGAGGTAATGCTGCGCTCCTGCCACTGCGATCTTCACAGGGGTCGGGGGCTGGGAATTGCAGTTGCAGCTGCAACCCCAAGGCAGGTGGGGCAGAGAGGGGACAGATGCCTCAGGGGAGGCATCCCCTGCCCAACAACCACCCTGCTAAGCCCCAGGGAAGCCTGGACCTCTGGCTGCAGCTGCTTCTACAGTGACAACCCTAGGAAGCCACCAAACTTTGGACCCTCTACTCCAGACACCTGAGGGGGGTGGTACCTGCCTCAATGTGCCTCAAATCAGAGGACAGTAACCACTAAAAGCTGCTTCTCCCATTTCACCTGAGTTCCAAGACACCCACCCAGAACCAAAGCAAGGCCAGGCTGCAGGGTGCCATCGCAGCTCCCAGGACAGGGAACATTCTCCATCTAGGAAGCAGGCAGTACTGGGCACCCCAGCCCCAATGGACCCCAAGGAAGTGACCACAGACTCACTATCTCTGTATCCGCGAAACAATGGTACTGAAGGCTGCCTGTACATCGGCGGCGGAGCACGTGCACACCACAGGGAGTGTGTGCCTCTGCAGGACATCGGAAAGGAACTGGGCGGGATGGGTAGACATGGCCTCAGCACAGTGCCTGGTGCCCCTGTCAACTTTACTGTGGGTCCCACAGAGTCCAAGGAGATCCATGCATGCCCAGTCAAACCTGGTTGCCACCGTCCCTGTTCCAGCACTGCACCCAGGACAGGGTGCACGATGGGGCCCCACTCAGCTGTGCTGCATGACCCCAATTCCAGAGGCTGCTCCTACCTGCCCCTGCCAATCAGAGGTGTTGACAAGAATGATGTTCTCAGGGAGCTGGTCATCGGAAATAAGGATGTGATTCAGCTGATCGTACACAGTCTTCCTGGGGATCTGCAAACACCAAATCTGTCCACACAAAGAGACTGCAAATGCCCAATCCTCTTCCCCGAGGCTGGAGCCTCTGCATTAGCAGTCATGGAGGCCAGGGAGCAGGTGTACAGCTGCCCACCATGCACTTATGCCACCCTAGATGGTGACCCATCCCACCTACAGTGAGCACTTTTGATGGGACCTCCAGATGTGCACCAGGGGCCCTGCCCCCACTACACCTGCAGCTGGCTCCTCGTGTCTGGGCAACGCTCATTGTCCAGGCTGTTGGCCCGCTCATTCTGTGGTCGTGCTGGCTGCCGCTCCTTCAGGGATGTGCTCCGGCCCCGGCGGCCAGCTGGCTTTGTCTCAGACCTATGGGCAGGGCAGACCACAAGCTCATATGAGCTGCACATTGTGTGTACCAGAAGAGAGGGCCACCCAGTGTCAACAGATAGGTGGCAAAGGCCTTAGACATATAGAATCCCAACTCTATGAAGGTCACAGGCAATGGCATAGGACCAAGACTGAGCATCTGTGTAGGACCTGGCACTCAGCTCCATTTCCTCATCTGTGACCTGGTGAGCCTTGAGGAATGGTAGGAATGGAGCCATGTGCCCCTCCAGACTTACATATGCAACCCTGATGGGTAAATGCCAGTCCCTAGACTGCTCTGGGAAAGACCAAATATCATAGGAATGTGTACAAGAGCCTGAGTGGTGAGGGTGGTACACCTCTGACCCAGCACCTTTTACAACACCAATGGGAACAGTTCCTATTTGGGGGTCTAGGGCCATAAGTCTGATGCCAGGTAGTGGGCTTCTGTGAATGGATCTGCACAGGGTGATGAGAAGGCTGGTGAGCTTCAGCAAGCCTGATGTGGAAGCCAAGATAAGAGGGGGCTTGGGTCTTGGTCAGGTTAAACAGTTGCCCCAAGGCCCCTCACACATGTGCTGTGAGACCAGGTGGATGTCCCAATGCAGAACAGCAGGGGCACTGAGGTTATGGCTAGAGAAGCCAGAGCCTCAGACAGTGGTAGAGAAAGTTACGGTCTGCTGTGCCTCCACAGTGGGAGGCCAGGAACTGAGACACAAATGTCAGCTCTGAAAGGCTTTTGCCTCAGGACAGGTTTGGAGGCAAGATAGGGAGCTGGGCTGGGAGGAGCCTAAGCCAGAAGAGGTCAGCAGATGCAGGGGATGCCACATACCCCCAGAGAACAAGATTGAAGAGAGGGTCTCAGGCTCCTGGCTCCCCAGCTTGGACAGTTGGAGATATGCCCCTGGTCTGACCAAGGCATGCAGGGACAGGCTCTGGATACCACAAGACACCTCCACTTACGGGACCCAAACTCACTCCTAATTTCCTGCACCTCCAGGCCTAAACCAGACACAGGTGTTGCCTTTGGACTATCCTGGCCACAGGCTGACCAGGACTTGGGGCCCTCCCCTATTGTCTGCTGCTGCCTCTAGCCCCATACAACAGACAGACCCCAGCAAAGATAGCCTTCCCATGGGTCCTGTGCCCTTCCCTGTCCACCACAGCACCCTAGGGATGGCAACATCGGACCAGGTAGCTCATCTTGGGCATACTGATCTGCAGGGGTACAGGTTGACAGAAAACTGGGTGGAGGCATGGGCTTTCCAGTGCGGGCCCTGCCCTAATGGTGCCCACCCATCTGCTGCCCCTTGTAGGCTCTTACCTGGTGGATGAGATGACAAGAGACTCTGTCTTGGTGATCCTCCCGCTGGGTGGCAGCTTCTCAGTAAACACATCCAGGGTGGAGGTCTCAGTCTCAGGGCTGTCCTCAGGTGGCTCTGCCAGCTCCTGTGGGGCTGGTGTGCTCTGATGCACAGAGAAGGGAGCTGCATGCACAAGTCTGGCCAGGAAATGCTAACTTGCTGGAGTTCCCGTGTACCACTACATGTGGCCATGCACTGCTCCAGAGGCCTCATCCTCCAGCCAGTCTAGTGCTATAAGGAGGCAATGTCCCTAAGAAGACTCTTCCCAAGGGCACCAGGAACAAACCTGCTGCTGCGCCAGGGCCACATGTGGCAGCAACACTGGGTCATCACCATCCCTCAGGGCTCTGATCAACCATGGGGAAAAGGTCAGGGTGTCTGACTGCTCGGCAGCCTGGCTACTGACGGCCGACCTGCCTTGGCATACCACATGCTCCAGGTGGTATCGTTACCAAGACCTCTGTGTGGTACCCACTGCATATCAGATGCCTGGCCTGTGTGACTGCGGTGGATGCTGCTAGCACTTGCTTACCAGGGCCACCGTGTCCGAGATGCTGTCACTCAGCTGCTTGGCTCCCAGGGACCGCGTCTTCTCAGGCACATCGGCCTGGGGTGGAGACAGGAGTCACGCTGTGCTGGAGCAGGTGCTGAGACTCTCTTGCTTTAGGCAGGAAGAGCCCATGGGAGACTAGGCAGGAAACTCCTGGACTATGGGTCTGGATTACCCCAGGATGGTCCCCTACTGTTGGGCCTGAGCTCAGGATGTATCAGAGCCCAGCCAGGGGCATGGTCACTGATGCTTGTCCATCACATCCCTGAGAACTCACAGACAGAAGGGTCTCCTCAACCATTGCCCTAGGACAGGGATGGCAAGCTTATGGCACATGTGATACAGCTAGCTCTCTGTCATCATTGAGAGCACTAAAAGGTTTGCCATTGCTGTCCTAGGTCACCTGTCATTGCACTCACCGGGCTTGGAGGCTCCTTGTGGCTCCGGGCACTATGGATGCTCCCAATCTCTGTCTGCGAGCTGGAGTGTGATAGGCCCTCAAAGTACGGCCTGGCTTGGGGAAAAGAGGAGGCATTACAGTTTAAGACATCCAAAAATCAAAAGTGAAGCCCCCAACCCACACAGGGGAGGAGGCAGACATTGGCAGGGAGCCCAGTGGCAGAGCAAAGCTGTGTCCAGAGGAACTGGCATCTTGAAGAACTTGTGGATACATATCCACCCTGGGGAGCTGGACACGAAATCATGGAATTCAGATGTAACTGGGCACCCAGTAAGCTCATTTCATCAGGTTTGCTGTAAGATCAGCTACAGAAAACATGTCCCCTAAAACTGTCATTTGCAGGCCTGACCCAGGGCAGGGCTGTCAGCAACACAGAAAGTCAAGAGACATCTCTATTCTAACGATTTTGTGGGAGGATGCCTACCCATGCTGGGAACCTCAAGACTGCAACCAACTAGTAGGAAACAACATTCTCAACAGCACAAGGGATGCCCATCAGCGGATCCAGATTTCAGGCCAACCAGATAACTAGGCTGACCTGGACCTATCTGGACCCACCAGACCATTCTAGATCAATCCAGACCCACTAGATCAATCCAGATCCACTAGACCCTCCTAAACTAATCTAGACTCCCCTGCCCTTTTAGATCCACCAAACCATTCTAGACTAATCCAGATCTACTAGACTATTCTGGGTCAATCCAGACCATTCTCACCAAATCCAGAAACACAAGACCATTCTAGACCAATACAGAATGACCATGTCCCTCCAGACCAAAAAGACCAAACACATTTTTCCTTAGCAGAAAAAGTATGCTGCAAATGAAAAAGAAGAAGGAAAAGACAGACCCGATGTATGTGTATGTAAAATACACTTTAAGCAGTTGGTATGCTCCTTGGATTATGAAGCTATGAAGAACCCTGGGGAGGTGGGGTATTCCCCTGTGTGTGACAAACCAAGATCACAGTGCTGATTTGCCCACACTGGACCTTCAACCTGAAGAGGCGCAGAACTCCATTCCACTACAATCTCACTGGGCCTGGAGGGTGCCCCTCACCCCTGTGAAGGTCAGTAGCCAGCACTTCTGAGCCTAGGAGCTGTGCCTCCCCCACCACACAGACCAGGATTTCCAAATATCCAAACCCATGCATGGACTTCCTCTGTCCACTCCTCTGGCCCAGGGCAGGCTCAGTCAGCTGCACAATAAGCCACAGAATGGCACTCAGCAGGTACAGCAGGAAGCCCTTTGCAGCTCCCAGGGTCCCTGCTCTCCCGTAGGACACCATGCCTGAGGGACCTCTCAATCCTCCATGCTGCCCACATCCCACCTGCCCCCATTCTCCGAGCTCTTGCCTCCCAGAGAATGTTCCAGTCCACTCCACTTGCACTGCCTCCCAATGCTCTGCCTGTGTTCTGGCTTAGTAAGAATCAGGGGCAGGCCCAGTGGTCTCATCACATTGCTACTTCTGCCCTGAGAACCACGCTGCCTGGCTGGGACAGCCTTTAGGATCTGCCCCTCCCTCAACCAGCTACCTCCCACCTGCTCTCCCATGAAAGAAAGCTCCCTGCCTCAATCTACCACAGTAGCCTGGGACTGACCAACACATTTCCCTCCTCCAAAGCTGTACTTGGAAAACTTTTAAGCCCTGGTGCCTTAGGTCAGGCAGGGTCTGCTGACATGTGGGTAGAAGGGTATTCCTGGGGTTGCAAGGAGGGCCGATTGCCAGGATACAGCAGCAGTGCCTTGTCTGGGCCTGACACACTCACCTGAGCTTGGGTTTGGGAGTGCTGAGGACGCTGTCATCATCTTCCATGTCAGGACCACTGTCACTGGGGTTCTCCATATCCAGTGTGTCATACAGGAGGTCCAGGTCCTCCTCTGCCTCAGGGACATGCTCTGCGGGATCCTGCTCTGAGTCCAGGACCTGCGGTAATGGGAGATGAGTGAGGGGGCTCTCTGAAGACCTGAACCACCCACATGCCAGGCTGTTCAAAGCTTACAAAGAAAAGTGCACAGGGAGATGAGTACCCAGCACCACTAAGTACCCTGAGCTCCCAGCACATTTCATTTTAACTCTTCCTATCCTAATTTAGGATCCAGGCACTGAGACACTATGTGGGCTCTTAACCTGTGAGGGCCTCCCCTTGATACGCTACCATGGGCTGTGCTGACTCAGAACAAACTTGAAAGTGCCTGGCAGCTGTGCCCCTTTTGCGCTAGCATACAAAATGCTGCTCTCCCGCAAAGACCTCTTGACCTGTAGTCCCATCTCCCCATCCCCAGGCAGGCACTGATCTGGATCCTCCTCAGTCATTGCAGGATGGAGGTATGCAGAGTGGAGCCTCCTAGGTCTGGTTTTCTCCAGCACAGCCTGTTCCTTTCTGAATAGGACCCCAGCCTGGCTTAGCAGCCACCAGCTGATGGCTGCTCCCCATGTAAGAAGTTGGTACCATCACCAGCCTGAGTGAGCTGTGGGTTCACTGTTTGAAACACATGTTGCTGATTGAAATGTTTGTATTTTTATTTTGTCACCTGTGCTTTTTTTTTTTTTTTTTTTTTTTTGTCTTTTTCGTTTTTATTGGTACCAGGGATCAAACTCACGGTCACCTGTGCTTTTGATGTCAAATGTAAGAAACTACTGCTTAGCCCAGTGCTGGGGATTTAGCTCAGTAGCCTAAGTGCCTGCCTGGCAAGTGCAAGGTCATGAGTTTGAACCCTGGTACAAACAAACAAACAAACAAATAAATAAATAAATGGTGCCTCCTAGCAAGCACACAATGAAGTATAATCTTTTGTATGACACAGCCCATCATTAGGGTAACAACCTGTCAGGGCTGGTTCCAATTAGGTAGCTCCAGTTAGGTATTATTTTCTGGGAAATATGGTATTTATTTTAGGACCAACTTGTGGATTTTTGCAAAAAGGCAACTGGGGATTGCATAGGGATTGTGTGGATCTGTAGACCTGTGTATATATGTACACACATATTTTTAGACAAGTGCTCTACCACTGAGCTACATCTCAGGTCTATTCATATCTTCTTTGGTTTTTCTCCACAATGTTTTCCAGTTTTACTGCAAGAGTCCTATGCATTTTTAAATTGTATTGTTTTTGTTGGGTTCTGAGAATTCTTTATGGAATTGGGATACCCAAGACAGTAGAACCATAGTCTCCAGCCTGCACTGCCACCTTGGGAGAGCCCTGGGACTGCTGTGTGGTCCTTAGGGCCCAACTGTCTCCCAGTCTGGTGTGTACAGAAGACAAAGCATGGAGTCAAAGATGTTTCTTCAGCCTTAAGATTCAGTGTTTGCCCATTGCCTTTGGAACTTACTTAGGTTTGCCTTCCTTCCTGCTTCTTTCAAAAAGGGGACTATTTAGCTTATGCTGGTCTTCTCATCATATTTACAAAGCACAGAACTTGTTTGGTTTCATGAGCTCACAGTTGGAGAGGAATCTTAGAACAAATCCTCTCCAGTGACTTTTACCCCTATCTGATGTAGCAAAGACTTCAGTTTGTTTTTGTTTGTTTGAGATAGGGTTTTTTTTTGTTTTATTTTGTTTTGTTTTGTTGGTCTTTTTCAGACAGGGTCTCACTATGCAGTTCAGGCTGGTCTTGAACTCACAATGATCCTCCTGCCTCAGCTTTGCAAGTGCTGGGATTACAGGCATGCGCCACCACGCCAGGCTTGAGATGAGTTCTTGCCATGTGGTCCAGGCCTCCTCGAACTCTCAATCCCTTTGCCTCAGCCTCCTGAGTGCTAGGATTTTAGGTGTGTGCCACTGTGCGCAGCTGAGACTTTGGTCTCTAAACTTCTGAGTGATGTTAGAATGAATTAATTTTTCAGGGCTATTAGATGGAATGAACATATTTTGTATGTAATGACACGAATTTTGGAAGCAAGCAGCAGAATGCTTTGGTCTGAACATTTGTGTCTCCCTACAATTCATATGCTGAAGCCTAACCTGAGGTGATGTACTGGGGTTGGGGGGGGTGGCTCTGGGAGGTGATTAGTGAAAAAGGCCAGGGAGAATATGCTCCTGTCTGCCACTGACAGTAGGAAGGACAGGACCAACTGTTAGCACCTTGCTTTGAGTCTACCTCCCCCAGAACTATGAGTAGTAGGTTCTGGCCATGTCTTAGCTGTCCATTCTAAGGAGTTCAGGCACAGGTACAGGAAAAGTGTAAGGTGGCCCAGGTGGGTGACCACACCTTGCCGCACCTTTCCAGCTCATCCCAGAGCTGCTGTGATGATTATGAGCCGGGGACAGTGCCTTGTGCAGAGGCAGGGGTTCTCAGAGATGGGGACACAGCTGTGGTGAGACAGACTGGTCCCTGCCGTCTTGCACAAAAGGGAGTGGTGTGGAAGATGAGATCAAGGGCCAGATCAACTGTGAATTTCAAACACACCTGGGAGACCATTCCTATAAAAGTGGGAAGTCAGTGCATGGCATGCTGGGCTGAATCCCAGCAATTAGAACCAAGTCTGTTCAGTCAGGCATGTTCTTCAACAACCCACTTGCTGGGCAAGCACGCTGCAGCCAAAAGTACCTATCTACATCTTACCCTGGTGCTCAGGAGGGGCAGCAAGGCCTCAGGCAGGGACCCCGCCTTGTTGTGTTTCCAGCTGAACCTGGGAACTGCCCACTGCAAGGCACAAGCCAAAAGACATGGCCTGCTCACCCTAGCAACAAACAGTGATGCTTGCTCACACTAGCAACAAACAGTGATGTTCCCAGAAACATGCTGGCCCTGACATGGCAGGATATGCCCTTTTCCTCACAGTGCCAGAGAAGAGCACTGAGCATGGTTGAGCCTGGACACTGCTGCCCTAGGCATGGCCTTGTATGCGTGGACACAGAGCCATGATGCAAGGGATGCCTCCTCGCCACGTGGACCTACGCCATGCTGTATTCTGCAATAAATTGAAGTGCTTTTCTTTTGATTATGAAAGTAATACAATGGGGCTGGGGTCAGAGCTCCATGGCACAGCACCTGCCTGGCAAGTGTGAGGTCATGAGTTTGATCCCTGGTACCAAAATAATAATAATAATAATAATAATAATAATAATAATAATAATAAAAGCTCACTGCAGATTTGGAGCCTAAGGTTTAAAGAATTTAACATTTAAGGTAGCAAGAGGGCCGGGCCCAAGGTGTGCATGGGGCCTCTCTGTACTTCCTGTGAAATTCTTCTATAGACCTAAAACTCTTTCCAAGGTAAAATCTAGCTATAAAGCTGGCAGACACATAGCCCTATACCCATCTTCCTCTGGGTACAAAGCAACTTGGAATTTAGCTGAACCCCTCATGGCTCCAAGAGGTGGCACCACTGTTACTCAATCTGGCAAGCGAAGGACAATGCCCCAGAGAGTAGGCACAGAGCCAGAGCTGGCCAGAGCTTGAACTCAGAGCAGCCCACTCACCTCGTCTGACACTTTGAATCTCCGCAGCAACGCTACAACCTTCTGCTTGAAGTTCTGTTGCTGCACGACAAGGGGTCAGCGTCAGAAGCAACGTGAGAGCTGTGAGATGAGTGTGGCTCAAACATGCCACAAGACAGCTGCAAGACATGGCTCTTACACACTTAACGACATACGTTCACGGCATCTGAGCTGGGCCAGCCTGGGGATGCTTGGGACGGGCTGACAGCCCAGACCCAGAGGAGGGGAACAGTGCAAGGGTACGCTGGTTCCCCAGTCCCTCCAGAGCCTCTGCAGCACCACATCTCAGAAGAGCTGCTATATGTGGGTGGCCCAGCTGCTCCCTGGCTGCCCCAGACCTTTGATCTTGCCACTGGCCACCAAATGGAGTGACAGCCCTCAACCATGCACAGGGTGCCAACCTATGGGGACTCTTTATGCCCTGTAGGGCTAGAACCCAGCTTCCTGAGACAAGAGTTCCTTACTTGCCCATGGCCTCCCTCTCACTCCTTGCCAAAGTGGGGGGGGGGATTGTCCCCTTGGTAAGCACTGCACTGGGGTTCCTTGGCCATCTATGCAGCAATCTTGTGGGCACAACCCAGTATGGGGCTTTGGGACTCCAGAAGGGGCACTGCAGCTAGGAGAGGTGGGGCTGCCCTAACTTTCCTCTGGAGCCTCACTCCTGTGCCTGCAGGGTCAGCAGGCCCTGAGAAAGTAGAACTGCCATAATCAGGTTGTCTGGTACCGAGCCCAAGGGGAGAGATTTGTACCCAGGTCCCTGTCAGTGGGACCCTGGGAAGCAAGGTGGCCATCCCAGCCTCATTACAACTCCTCAGCCCCTCATGACCATGTGGCACGGTGCCAGGACAGGTGGTAGCAGGACAGGGAGGCATTCAAGGAGCTAATGGCCAGATGCTGCCACGGGACGTCTCCTGCTTAGTTTGTGTCCACTTTCAGACAGTGGGCAAAAGGTAACATGGCAGACCCACCTAAGAGCAAGGCCATGGTGTGGACTATACATCCCCTGAAAGGCTTCTTGCCCACAACCTCCCCTCAAGGGCTCGAAGGCCATATGTCCACTGCATCCATCTCAGTCAACTACCCATGCCCGTCCCCAGTGCTAGTAAAACTAGCTTCCACCGACCCTGGTCATGGACGTCGTTCTTACAATCGATCTCCGCTGCTTCTCAGGCTTTCCCACATCAAAGTCATCCTCATCCAGATCCTGTGGATACACAGCAGGTCCTGAGGCTGCCGCCCTGCCTGCCCTGGTGGTCTGTCCAGTACTGGGGCAAGGATATCCAGTCTCCCTATCTCCTACCCTCCAATTCTCCTCACCCCATAGCACTTGGCCACACATGCCCAGTGCCCATTACCTGCCCTTGCACGGCATCATCACTGGCCTCCTGCTCAGAGGAGAAGCTTTCGTACTCCTCTTCAGAGTAGTTATCTGTAGAGGGAGGGGCAGGTATCTGGATAACATGACTTTTGCAGCTACATGGCCATCAAAACCATGGCTCCCTGGACACAAAGGGGGCATGTGGCAAGGGCCCCAAGTGCTGGTGAAGATCCTGAACCCCTAAGACTCAGAGGTCAGTGGACTACATAGTATGGGGCTGGTAGAAGTGTCCAGAAGGGTTGAAGGTAGGGGCCATAGGGGGTCATCCTAGACACAGCCTCCCTCACTTTGGCAGGTGGAAGGACAGCCACACCAATGGAGATAGCAGTAGCACCTAATGGTCCCAAAGCACGATCCTATGCCAGGCCCTGGCCTCAGAGGCAGTGACAGATCAGCTTCATGATCATCCTCTAAAAAGGGTATGTAGGAATTGGTCTTGATGACTGAGAAGCCAGGGTCCAGATCCACAGCCACACACGTGACCTTGCTCAGGGTTTTCAGCTGAGGGAGTGATGGCCAATGCTTCACTCACCCTACTTCTCCAACCACCTGATGGCTGTGTGTCACCTGACATGCCAGGGCAGGAGGTAGCACTGTCAGGTAGAGGAAGAAAGGGTTCAACCTGGCCTCACGCACCTGTGGACTTGGCCTTGGGGCCAGCCTGCATGGCACTGTCCTCGTGGTCAATGGGTTGACTGGACAGGGAGACAATCCAGATCTCAGCCACCTTGACAGAGGCCTCCTTGATGCTGCTGCAGAGGCTCAGGACTTGGCCACCCTCCGAAGGGTGTTGCATCACCTGTGGGTGCACAGAGCTCTAGGAAGCACCCCAGGAATAACGGCCCCCACCCCTGAGCCTGGTCCAAGTGCAGGACACCCAGCATGCAAGAGCCTGGCTGCAGAGGAGGCCAAAGGGATCCAGGCAGAGGCCACCAGCTAAGTAGGAGCTAGAAGTGAGCAGACAGTTCCACAGTCACTGGTCCCTGCCACACCTGCTGTTCCTGACAAGTCACCTGCCTGGGACTGCAGCAGCCAGGTGTATGTGACATCAGGGATGAGGGCCAGCCAGCAACACAATGTGGCCACTGACTCGAGTCTGACGTCCAAGAACTCATGTCAGTGGGGACCAAGGAAGAGCAACCATCACTGCAGTTCAGGTCTACAACAGTGTGGGAGAAGCACCAGGCCTGGCCCATAGAAACATCAAGCCTGGGGCTACTTGTGTCACAAGTGTTAGGGAACCAGAGGGCAGAGCAAGCCCAGCCATCACCCAGCAGCGGCAGCTACCACTCTGGCCACGCTAGCCTCAGAAACAGACAGGGCACCTGTAAATCTTGCAGACAGGCTTTTGTGCTGTGTGGGTGCAGGCTACTGGGCCAGGGAGCACTGAGCCACATCTCCAGATCTTTTTAGTTTTTATTTCAGGAAGGATCTCACTAAGTTTCCCAATCTGGCCTTGAGCTTTCCATTCTCCTGCCTCAGCCCTACCTCCTGCCTCTGAGTGTGCTGAGATTACAGGTGTGTGTCACCACATCCACTTGGCCTCCGTACTTTTAAAATTTCCTCTGGGACCATCTGATCAGATCCAGATGTTAGGATTTTATAGGCCAGAGGTTTTTTTGTTTTTAATTTTGGGGCCTAATTTGGGGTGCTAACTCAGAAACCAAATCAAAAGGTCTTTGGACAGCTCTGTGCCAATATTCCCCTCATTCCTGGTGCCTTCATGTGGACATCATGTACCTGAGTGCACCCAGCCCCGCACCCTGGATGCCACCTCCTGTGTCCACCTCTGTGGTAGAAGTCCAAGCACCCATCACCCCCCAGAGTGACCTCCAATTGGCTCAGAAATCAGTGCCAGCTGTAGAAGCTGATACCCACTGCATCCAGGAGCCGATGGGCAGGTAGTAGTCAGAGTGTGGTGAACGGCAAGGTGTGGTCACATACCTGCTCCCAGGTAGAAGGCTGGAGAGAACATGGCCTCTGTCAAAGGTGTGTTGACCTCTTCCAGTCCAACTGAGCCAAGGCCTTGCCTATGAGCCAGAGGCCCTCATTCCCTTACGCTACCCCTTTGCTGCACATTTCATTTGGCCTCCTAGCCCTGAGACCATGGAGACCAGCTCCTGCCAGGCCCCAGGCCAGAGTTCCTCAGTGCTGGCTCAGCCTCCCAAGTAGGGTCCTGCAGTCAGTCCCGAGGGGAGTCCACCTGAGGTGGTGCAGGTGGCCACGCAGGTTCTAAGCAGTACCTCTCCTGTGCAGCTACCAAGCCCCAGGGACTGCCACTCTCATGTTGTTTCTCTAACTGTGCACCCAACTCTCCTACATACCTCCTGTTCAGGCTCCTCTGTCTTCCCAAGTGCCCTGGACAGAGCACTCAATGGGTCAGGGCTGGAGAAGTACAGGGTGTAGTCCCTACTGCTCAAGGTCTGGACCCAGGGGGAGGCTGGCCCTGCCCACTATTCTGCCTCCTGTCTATGGACAGGTTCCAATTTCACCATATTCTCAGGGACCCTGCTTCCCAGCCAAGTGCTACCCTGAAGAACTGGGTCACCACTAATAATTCACATGACCAGCACAGAAGCTCCCAGATACAGGGCCCCACCACCCTTCATCTGAACCGCAAAGTCAGGACCCCTCCTCCACCCACCCAAATTAACTAGCGCTCACAGCCAGCACCCAGCAAGCCCACAGTGGTCATGGGAGAACATCCAGGCCAACAGGGATAGACAAACAGTGAAGGAAGGATGGGGCCCCAGTGCCTGGCTGAGTTACACTAAGGGACAAAGGCCATGGCTAGAGAGGCAGGAGGTAGGTGGCTAGAGATAACAAAGGACCAGTCATAAGAAACCTGCTCTGGGCGGTCCCCAAGTTCAGGATGAGGAAGTCTGGGGGTAATGGCCATGGGGGTAGGGATACAGGGACATGTCCGGGAGGGTGGGTCCTCTCAACTACGGAGGGAAGAGGGGGTCCATGCAGTGTGGCCCACTAATCAAGGAAGAGTTTGGGGCAGGGGCCAGAGAGAACATGCCAGATCCAGGAGCTAGCACATGGTGGGGGCAGTATGGGAGCTTGGGCAGCTGATGTGGGGTCAGGGATTCACCCCACCTGTGGGTGCCCACAGACCCTGAAATAGCCCCATAATGTAGTAAGTCTGAGGCCTAAGGAGTAAGTGGGACAGGCCTCAGTTGCTCCTTTTCCTAGAACTGCTCCTGTGGCCCCCATGATGCAGGAGGAAAGTCTGGGCTCCTCTGTCCCAGAACCCCTCTTGCTTCTCCACAGCTCCCATAGTCCCTGATCCAGGATGGGGTGCTAGGCTGAGGTCCTCCCATGATGTCCCTGCTGCCAGGTGGGGGCTGAGTGAGGCCCCCAGAAAGACTCTGCAGGGAAGCCTGGAAGTCGAGTGCGCACGGGGCTGTGGCAGGGATGAAAAGAAACACATGGGGACAGTGCAGAGTCCTCACTGTGCAGCCCTGATAGAGGCTCCTGCTGCACTGAAATGGCATTATGACATGTGTGGGGAGTCTGTATGAGTGGACCGCCCAGGCCCAGCACTCACCTCAGCCATGTTGATGGAGCCTACGGCCAGCGTCTTGTAGCCCAGGATTGTCCGGTTTTTGTACCGCTTCCTGCGCTGCAGCATGATCTGAAGCTTGTTGCCTTCTCTCTTCAAGAAGTGAGGGTACTGCAGGCACGGGAAGCTGCCTGAGGCACACTCAGCCCCGCGAGGGGCAACCCTAGTGCTGCCCAAAGCCCTTGCAGACACATGAGACAGGCCCACATATTGGACACTCCCAGCTGAGCAGCCCTACACAACTGTACCCAGCACCTACCCTACCCCTACAGAGGCACATGCATAGGACAGAAGCTCCTAGCCCTTTCTCGGGTGTACAAAGTGATCTGAGATGTGGCAGCTGGGTCTGCCCTCCCCAGCTCCAGGGCTGTCTGCCTCACACCTGCACACGCATCTCACAAGCCCAGTACTGAGTACATAAAGAAAGTGGGTAAGCTCCATGTTTGGCAAACTGGGCTTCAGTAAACTGGGCTCCCATGGGCTATAGCTATGGCAGTGAGGGCAGGGGGTGGTGTTGCAGGGACTCAAGTGTTCTCTGAAGCACAGCATAGTTCCACACGTTTAAAAGATGAAAGATTAGGATGGGACTTAGGATGAATTAATTTAGTGGGTTTGGAATGAGTGGGCTGATCTGTTTTCCTGACAGGGCAGGGACCTGGAGAAGGTAGGAGAGGAAGTCTCTGTCTCCTCTTTGGTGGGGAGGTCAGGGGCACACAGAGCATGTGTTCACTAAACTCATCCTAAAGTATGTATAACACACCCAAAGCCCATGTTTCTGCCCATCTTTCCTAAGTATGAGGATGAAATGGCTTCAACTTGATGATTTGCTATTTTTGCCTTATCATTCCATTTTCTTTATCATAGGAAAGGGATGAAACAGACAACATAATAAACCAAGAAAACTTCCTAATCATTTAAGAATAAATGGTAAGAGAACATTGAAATTAACAAGGATGAAGGGAGTAATGAGGAGCCATGTTATCACCAAGGGCACGGACCACTCACCTGAAGAGAGAAGGTCAGGGCTAGGTCAGTCTCCACTTGTCCACTGGGGGGCAGCACAATCTCATGAGACCGTAGGACTCTTTTGGAGCCCTGTGAGGAGATAGCCACCTTGCATTAAAGAAGGGTATCACACAATAAGACAAGGCAGGATAGGCGCCATGGGTCAGTTAGCACCCAAGAATGTCCTCGTCCTGTGCCTACCATTCTGTAGGATCTGCACAGGAGAGGGGAACTAAGGTCACCTGTCAAAGCACATTTAGGTCTAAAGAGGCAGTGCCAGTTTGCAACTAGAAGGCTGCAGCATGGGTGCTACATGACCCAAGGACCCTCAGAGTGACCACGCTACAAGGCACAGTACTTGAGACATTAAAACACCATCATGGGCACCTGGATGCAGATGTAGACTTGCACCTTTAGTAGGAAGCAATGCACCATTCAGATCCAATACAGCAGGACCCAGGCCCTGCTTTGCAGCATACTGGGCTCCCAGTGCTTTACAGATCTCTCATAACAGTGCTGTTTAAGAGATCTATTCCAGCAGGGGAGCCCTGAAGACTCCAGGACAGGCAGTCAGGCAAAGAGACTGACATCAGGCTCCTCAGCAGTCCGCAGCAAGTAGGTAGAGGTGGGGTTACAGGAGGGGTGCAGTGGGGTTACAGTGGGCTGCTCCAGGACAAGAAGATGGGATAGGAAAGGAGAGGGCTGTTGGGTATGGGGTACCCATGGTATGGGGCAAAGGCTGTTCCACCGTCCAGTTCCCCAATTCCAATGCAGACCTTTCTTTGCTCTGGGCTCCTGTGATCCCAGAACAGAGTTAGGGTAAGGGTGAGGCCCTAACTTCTGGCCTCACTGGACTAACCTAGAAGCTATGATGGGAAGTAAGGATAGGGCTCAACAGGAGCCCAGCCTTCTCCCAGGCTGGGGAGTAGAGCTTACGTCTGGGGCCTGGCACAGCATCCAGAGATGCCTCAGAAAAGGGGTAGGGCCATGGTTTTCCTCCAGCCCCACCAGCCTGCCAGACACGGGTGACCTGAGCCAGAGAAGGTGCTGAGGAGAAGCAATAAAGAACCAGGGGGCTGTGGGATGGGGAGATGGGCCAGGGCACAAAGGAGGGCTGGGAGTTCTGTAGTGCGGAAGACTGGGGAGGACTACAGAAAAGGTTGACTGGGGCACATGGGCCAAAGACAGGCAGGGCAGCCCAGGAGAGGTCACAGTCCCCAGTGAGACTCAGATGCCTGCAATAGGCCAACTCACACCTCGATGACTTCCGCATGGTTCTACAGACCTGGAAAGACCTTGGCCCTTCGCAGCCAGGGGCTGACGCACAGCCTACATGACTTTCTGCCTCAGCCTAAGTGGCTGGGATGGCAGGTGTGTGCCACAGCATCTGGCACTCTCCAGGTCTTTATCAGAAGCACATCCTTAGCCAGGAATGGTGGCTCATGTCTATAATTTCAGCTACTGAAGAGGCAGAAGGTCGACAGTCTGAGCCCATCCTGGGCAAATTAGAGACTTAGTATGATCTTGCCTCAAGGTTAAAAAAAATTAGGGCCAGGGATTTAGCTCAGTGGCATGAGCACCTGCTGGCAAGCACAAGGTTATGAGTTCAATCCTTAATACAAAAAAAAAAAAAAAAAAAAAATCAAAAAGACCTCTAGCATTTTGGGTCAGGAATTTAGTTCAGCAGTGTAAGCGCCTGTAGGGCAAGCACAAGGTTGTGAGTTCAATTCTCGGTACCACAAAAAATAAAAGAATAAAAATGAAAGGGCTGGAGATGTAGCTTAATTTGAATGTCCCAGGTTCAGCCCCCAATACTGAGGGATGCAGAGCAGCAGCACCGTTATTTTTTAGATGTATACAACTAAGGAAGAATCAAGACAGGCTGCAGCCCCAAAGCCCATGCCTTAGTGTTGAAGACAGCCGACATGGTGGTCCATGGCCATGCTGCATCCCAAAGTTCTGCATGCTGCCCCTGTGGGTCCAGGGAACATTAAGCTGTTCATACAAGGCCCCCTTCCCCAAGCAGGATCCTGGGCTCACAGGGCCAAGGTGTGGAGTCAGCAAAGATCAGTGGCTGCCACACTGCCAGGGGCACACACAGGGCCATGGCCCTGAGCATCTCACCAAGAAATGGCACCTGCATGGCCAGGGACTGAAAGCCACATCTTGTCTCTGGGAAGCAGACTAGAATTTTGTAGCTCCACAGGGCTGGTGGGATACTATTTGGGCCAGTTACTAGCTATTGTCCCCTGGAGGGATGGTCAGGGCAGAAGGCAGCTCTTCCCTTCATCTGAAGCTTTGAATGAAACTAAACTAAAGCCCAATATAAGGACCCACCAGGAACCTGGACCTACCTGACTCCAGTTCTTCGTACCCAGCCCTCACCCTGAGGAAGGTTTTAGTGACAGGTGTCAGGAGGGACTGGAGTGCAGGGGCCGCATAGCCTTGTGCTGCCACATCTGCTACAGGGTGGACCTGGGGGCTCACCTGCATCTTGACTGCAATCACCACGGACATCAGCTCCTTTTCCAGCTCTCTGAGAACTGCCAGCTTCTTCAGGGTTAGGCTGCATAACCTAAAAAGTACACACAGCTTAACCCTTGGGGGCTCCCTGGAGTACCACCCCAGTGCTACACTTGCTAGACATTGGTCTTCTCACTCTAAGAAGGCCCTCTGCAGGCTCAGCCTCTGCAGCATCCCTAGGGCTCCCTGCATATGGCAGGCAGGGCTTCTGGCTCTCTCTGCAGCTTCCTCACTTACCTAGCCAAACAGCACTGAGGATGCCTGCCCATGGGACAATATGGGACAAATGTGCGTTCCTCTGAAATAAGGCACACCGCCTGCTCTACAGCTCCAAGTTCCAGGACAAACATCCCCAGCTGTGTATGCCGGGTCCCATTGGGAGATCTTCTGAACTGCTGGCCTAAAGTGTACCTGAGCTGGCAAATGCCAGGCACAACCCTTCAGAGGGCATAGCCCTCTGCCATCAGAACAAACACTAGCACTTCTACCTAGGGGCACAAGGACTGTATGCAGGGGCACAGGGCCAGCAATTCATCATTCCCATTCAGTTGCAGGGGCAGAGGGAGGCAGGTGAGCTTCAGCTGCATGGCTTCAGGGAGTGGTGTGAGCTCTTGGGCACCTGCCAGCCCATGAACCCAATCCCAGTGAGCCTAGTAGCTCCACTGAGCTAAAGAGGTGAGGGCAGGGATGGGCTTCCTGCAGGGTGTGCCCTGACCCTACAGCAGGGCAGCAGGTGGGAAGAGGTGTGTGGCATCAGCACGGACCATCTGGGAGTGAGCAGGGCAAAGGAAGGCCACAGCGGGCAGGCAGGATGCACCTTACACCCAAGTGAGATGATGTGGGCACAAGCAGGTCCCAGTGGGGCCTCTAAAGCCAGAAGCTGGGCTGTGTGACTCTGCAGGGACTCAGGCATGGCATCTTTCCAGCATGACCTGGTCAGTCTGGCCCACCAGGAAAGCATAGATCCACTGGATGCTGGGGATGCCTCACACCAAGAGCAGTGCCAACCTCATTCACATGTTTGTGCTGTACCTCAGTCTGCAGTTTAAAATTTGGGAGCCATTTTTAAAAATTTTTTTATTTAATATTTTTGGACTATGATAGAACTTGAAGCCCTAAAACCATGGAATGTGAAACTGAAGGTAAAAGTGACTACAATGATAGGAAGACAGCTAGAAAGTCCCAATGGCTTGTGAAACTGAGTAGCACATTCCTAAACAACCCACAGTCAGAGAGGACATTTCAAAGGAAAGCAGGAGACACTGACTGAATAAAGATGATACACAACGTGCCAGTATTTGTGGGACAAAGCTAAAGCCGTGCCAAGACGGAAGATCGCAGCATGCAACATATATTAGAAAAGGCTTCAGGGCAGGGGGTTTAGCTCAGCAGCACAAATGCCTGCCCAGCAAGCACGAGGTCATGAGTTCAACCTCTGCCTGGCAAGTGCGAGATCATGAGTTCAATCCCTGGCGCACACACACACACACACACACACACACACACACACACGGCCTTCAGATAACAAATCCAAGCTTCCACCTTAGAAAAACAGGAATAAAAAAGAACAAACTAGAGCCACACGTAGTGGTGCACGCCTGTAATCCTAACACTCGGGAGGTTGAGGCAGGAGGGTCATTGCCAGGAGGATTCAAGACCAGCCTGGGCTACTATGTAAACTTACGGCCAGCCCGAAATACAAGTGAGACCCTGTCTCAAAAAGACAAAACTGATAGACAAACAAAAATTAAACTCAAAGGAAATATAAGAAAAGAGATAATGAAAAAAGTAGAAATAATCAAATTGAAAATTCAAAAACAATAGAAAAATTAAACCAAATGCCAGTTTCTGGGGGGGGGGGAACCAACAAAATTCGTAAAATCAGCCAAAAAAGAACATAAGAGAGAGAAGACAAAAAATTTTAGTTATCAGAAATTAATGAAAGAACTACAGACTTTACAAACATTTAAAAGATCAGAAAGCACCATAAACTACAGGAACATAAATTATAACTTAGATGAAATGTAAAAATTTCTTGAAAGCCATCAAGTACCAAAAGTCACCAAGATAAAACAGAGAATAGTCCTCTATCTGCTAAATAAATTGAACTAATAGTTTGAACATTCTGAAAAAGAAAACCACGCATATTTAACCAGATATTAAAAGAAGAGGGGTGGGTATAGTTCACAGTAGAATGCTTGCCTGGTGTGCTCAAATCCCTGCACCAATGCCCTACAGATAACAGAAATGGAGCCAACACTTCCTGAGCATTATACTGAATTGGCATTACTCTGCTATCAACACTAGACAAAAATAGAAGGAACTGCAGACCAATATCTCATGAACATAACTGCAAGTTCTCCAACAAAATTTTAGCAAACCAAATCTAGCAGTGAGTAAAAATCATAACTAGTATCAATGATCCAATAAGTAGAGGGCTTGTCTCAGGGAAAGCAAGAGTGGTTAGACATCTGAAAATCAAGTAACTCACGGATCAACAAGCTAACAAAATAAATAAACAAACCACAGGCAGTACTATAGTTTGCAGGAGTGACCCCCAGAGGCCACATGCTTGGTCTTCAAATGGTGACATGGCTGGAAGGAGGTGAGAACTGGTGGGGCCTTGAATGCACGTTAAGACCCCATCATGCAGAGCACCCTTACCGACCCAAACTGGTGGGTGATTCGGTGCTATTCTGAGACCGCGGCTGCCACCTGGCGACCTCATTGTGGAGGCAGCAGTTGGCTCTGCTCTGCAAGCCAGCCCTGTGCTGGGTCTTCTCCCCCTACTGCATGCAGGCATAGTGAGAGGCGGATGAACACCCCAGGCACTCTGCAGGCTGCCTTTGAGTGTGGGCACAGAATAGGATTTTCCTATACAATTTTAAAAAAATTTTAAGCAGATCTAAGAGATAAATCACCAACCTCAAACCAAAATCCTTTTTTTTTTTTTTCTGGTACCAGGGATCAAACTCACGACTTTGCGTTTGCCAGGCAGGCCCTTATGCTGCTGAGCTAAATCCCTGGCCCCTCCAAAACCCAATTTAGACCCTACTTTGGATAAGGTAATTACAAATGCTAAGTATATATAGTATTTACATATATTCACAAACTTATACATAGTTACGTACGCACATCCACGATGCTTGTTTGGGGATGGAGTTCCAAGGGCTAAATTTTTTATACTCAGTGCTCTCATAAATCCTACCTGTAGGAGTTTGCATTCCCTGGAATTTCTGTGACAGTCCTGGGTGTGGAGACATCAGTCTGACCCTGAGGACATGCTGCAGCAACAGGAGGTCTTGTGGAGCTCGTCTTCGAACTCCTCCACACCACACAGGAACACACAGCCCAGGCTCTTCAGCATACTAGTCAATGTCCAGGAACAACTTATCTGCCATCATGCATACCAATTCATGCTTGGAGCTAGTATCTCTAGATATTCTGGCAATGTAAGGTCTGTTTTGCTGGCACTATTCATGCAAATAATATTCAAGGGACAAGAAAAATCATTTACACATAGAAACTGAGCCAGATGTATAGAACATGTCTTTAATCCAAGGTTGGTTCTAAGAAGGACTTCAAAGTTGACTGAGCAAGGACTAGAGCTGCTCCACAACATACCACCTTGAAGGAAACCAGGGTGTGTGGTCTAGACACACACAGTAGCCAGAAATTAGACTGTATCTCACATCCGTGACTGCAACTCTGTATTCCTGCAACAGTGTGGACTCAAGTCATAGACATAAAACGAACTGTTAAAAAGGTCAATGTCCCATAAGACATAGCCCTACAGACCAATGGGCCCTGTGCCCACACTCAAAGGCAGCCTGCAAAGAGCCTCCTCTCACTATGCCTGCCTGCAGTGGGGGAGAAGACCCAGCACAGGCTGGCTTGCTGAGCAGAGCCAACTGGTGCTTCCCTGATGAGGACGCCAGGTGGCAGCCATGGTCTCAGAATAGCACCGAATCACCCATTAACCTGGGTTGGTAGACGTTCTCTACATCGAGGTTTTTTTTGAAGAAACAAAGAGAAAGCCACAGAAGCCCACAAGCTGCCTGTGGTCCCTGTCCCACTGTGCCAGGAGGTGGCTGAGACTGCCAGCTGTCCATTATCTCCACCTTCCAGCTTCCTTTAGTAGCAAGCCTTGTACGTTAACTAGGTGGCAGCTTCCTGCCCAGGCCATGGTTCCTGAGTGACACAAGGTAGCACCAGGTGCAGCTTGGTTAGTGCCTCATTTTTGGCTCACTGTTGCAGATATTCTGTGTACCCAAGACAACCAAGGATAGCGTGTGACAGTTACTACACGTATAGCACACACAGTCCACACCGTCTGCCAGAGTAACCTGGGTCCAATGTGGCCCACATCCTAAAGAGTAGACATCTGAGTGGTAAGGGAGGCGGTACAACCTGCCAGTACTCCTTGGCTGTGAGTATTTCCCGCAAACTGCCTTCCTGCAAACTGCCTCCAGATGTCTAGGAGCTCTTCACTCCAGATATTAATCATTAGCCAGTGTACACTGCAATCATCATCTCCTAGCTGTGGCTGTCATGCAGATAGGTTCTTAATCCCTTTTTTGCATAATCAAACATGCCCTTTGTATATGCTTCCCAGAATTTCTACTCTTTAATCAACCCCTCCTCATTGTTCTACTTAATCTGTTCCATGACAAGGTCATTTACCAAGCTGGTGCTGTCTTGTGTATGACACAGGGCAGAGACCTGATTTTATTACTTCCTACATGGATATTCAGTGTGCCCATGCCATGTCCTCAATTGCACACACACTCCTTTTGGGGGTGAATATCATCTCTGAAGCACACTGTGGCTATTATGTTACATGGATCAATTTGTCATACTTCTGCCAACTCCATATCATTTTAATTTGAATAGCTCCTTTAAATAAATTTGCATCTGCTAGGGAAATTACTCTCTGCTGAAGACTGAATGTCTTTGTTTTCTCCAAATTCACCCTAAAATCTGAACCCCCATGGTAATAGGATAGAGTTAGGCCTTTGGACGCCAATCTGGATATGAAGACGGGGCTTCATG